TAAAATAACCTATTTTTCGATCGATTTGATGGTGTTAAGCTAACGCGAATGAATTCTTGAACCCTGTTGGCGCAGAATGTACATATCATAATCTTTAGGTCGTTAAAATATGACCGGATAAAAGATGATCGTTTTGGAAATGTGGAATGATCTAATCAAAAAAGTCCTTTTTGTGAAAAAAGAGAATTCTGTGCGGTTACATCAGAAATGGAGTCGCCTACAAAAAAACTCAAAATATTTCTCTTCGATCCTCGTAAAAGAAACTGCTAATCTGAAAAAGAGTTTTATCGTCTCTTGTCATGAAAATTCGCATCAACTGTCGCCCTCTCAAATCTTTTCTGTCTGAGGCGTGAACTTTTCAAAAGAGACAGCATTGATATATTGTTTATGTAGTACTTTTATTTCCAGTTTTCGAGAAAAATTTCATTTGGTTTTTCCCAATGCAAAGACTTTGAAGCTATTGTCGAAGCGTCGAATCTGATGCAATATTTACACAAATGAAAGATTTCTTATAGAAATGAGATTTCATATGTATGGTGCGCTCTGGCTTGAATTTTATTGCTCTGAAAGCAATGTGAAAGTCACAAATAATCACAGGAACGATGAAGTACGAAAGGAAGAAATCACAGGGCGATAGAAGATAGCTTATGTGCTTGTGAGAGATGGGTTTATCAACAAAAGAAATATGCCTTACCTGTCGTTGCAATTGAATATTGAATCCAACTTTGATAGCTGGAATAAAGCGAGTATTGTAGAAACAGAGATGAGACTAATCGATCTCACCGTTTACAGTGTTTGTGGTGGCTTTTGGCTGCTCTTGGCTGATGAGGAACCTTGATAAACAAAACCGAAGACAGACAGTCTGATGGCAAAGATCACTTGTAAAAAAGGGCAGTGTTGAAGTGCAGGTGAGGGGGGGGGGGTACATAGAGCATCATAGAGCATAGGGTAAACAAAGCAAAAGTGGAACGAACAGACCGACATTGACGTCAGATGGGGGTGCCTGCGCTTTATTAAAGAGTATGATAATTAGTTCTCAGTAAATTAGTAAGCGTTTCCAAGATTGTTATCAGTTTATCAATGCAACGACATCAGCACATCAGTAAACAGGTCGACGTTTTTCAGGGTCGCCTTTTTTCAAGACCTGATTAGTGAGTCAATACAGGGTGTCTCAAAAAAATGTGCCTGCTGTTTGATTGTAAATAACTCTCTTGTAATGAAGTGTTTCGAGAAGCTTTAGGTACCGTTATGTAGAGCGAGGTTAAACTTAGATTTATAGCATAGAGCGAGCCATCGACCGCTCTTCATTACTGTAGGATTACGGTAAGAACTTCCAGCATATGGAACCAATGTGAAATATGCCACCTAATAAAATTTTTTCAAAAAATCTGAAAAATCGTGTATTAGGATTTTCGCGCATGCTGATTCCATTACAACTTTTTACGAGTGTTTTCAGCTTTTTTGACGGTGTAATTTCATTTCTGATAAATGCTGGGAATTGACTTATTACGATTTACGGGGATAATTTTGTAAAGAAGCATCGCAGTAGAATGAGAATTTTAAATTCGGAATCAGCGGCTCCCATTACCGTAGTACAAGAGTTTTTGGCTTGTTTGGTTTTGTTCCGATGCAGAATATAGCCTCTAATGGCCTAAAATCCTTGTCGAAGTTCGTACCGTAATCCTACAGTAACGAAGAGACATAGATAATACTCTCCATACGGTAAATCTAAGTTCAACCTCGCTCTACAAAGTGGTACCCAGAGCTTCTCGAAACACTTCATTACAAGAGAGTTATTTACAATCAAACAGTAGGCACATTTTTTGGGACACCCTGTATATTCGATGCTCCAAGGGTAGACATATTTTTAGCAATACACTTCAAATGGCTGTCCACCACTCTGATACTTAGTCAGGCTACTATATGCTAACTCTTGTGATGGAATGAGGTTCCCTCTTGAGGTCAGACTCAAATCCACACAATGATAAGAATGGGACGAGCTCACTACTGAGAGCCATTTTCTCCTCCTTCCTGTTAAGTTTAGGACATTTAGACGTGATCCAAGCCTCTATAGTTTTTCGTGCTGCAACCTCGGCTTCCTTCGAAAGAATAGCCATGTTGTTTTGAAACTCTGTGTCTGATGGCAAAGCACACGATGTGCGCCGGAGGTGTGGACGCTCGCGATTTTCTCATTCCGTCCAAATGTTCCAAATGTTGTATTGATAAACTGATAACAATTTTGGAAACGCTTACTAACTTACTGAGTACTACAATATATTTTCTGAAATGACCAAGTTTTATATTTGGCTCATTCTAACCTCGCAAAACACCAGACATTGAACAGTTTAGGTATCATTCGATGCATCTTTTTCTCCTCTTTCTACCAGCTACCTTTTCTTCGCGAACATGCTAATTGTGCAGAAAAAATCGCTGTACTTCCCCATTTTTCGGGTGCGAGGTTGTAGTCGAAATTCTAAATGCTATCCATTTTCACGCCGTAATCGCTCATTTACTTCGTAGTACTAGCGGTAGTAATAACCAAGTTTTAGAACTTCAATATTTTGAGAATTCCGCGGAATTGGTGCAATTATGTGTCACGGGACTTCTTCAAAATCCAATGCTACAGCAAAATAATTCACAATTCTCAAGAGGAAGTTGGAAAAATGCCAAAAATTGCATTAATTTGGAAAAGGTCTGCCTTATCAGGTGGTTATCAAAGCACCTTCAAAAGTCATTTTGAAAATTAGCGAAAGTTAGAATGGTAAAAATGAAGGGTTCTAGTTTTCGGCAATTATCTCAGCGCTCGTCGAAATAGACACTTCGAGAACATAGCCGCTGGAAAGAGGCTGTTAGAGGGATTTGGTCTGTCTTCATTTTGAACGAGTTTATAATAGTTTAAAGAACGGCACGAACTTTCGGACCCACCTAATATATCTATTGTTAGTCACTTTTTACCGCTTTTACTACATCGTCTTTTTGTATCTTTCCCTCAATTGATGTGGCTTGAGTAATCGTTTGATAGGGCAAAACAATCTCTATAAGATGGCTACTAAAAGTTTGCCCAAAACGGAACCCACGCGATGTTTAAGCTGAAATCTGATAGCAATCAAAAAGAACTTTACCCTAAAAAGCGTATCTCCGCCTTGAAAAATCTCATAAGTTTCCCATTTATCCTAGCGTAAACGGGCATACCGAATATTCGATTATAGACTTTCCGTATGTTTCCACGGCTACAAATTAAGAAGAAAATGAACGGAGTAAAATGGCGAACTTTACCTCTAGACGTCCTCAGCCCCTCACACGAACGTGATCATATAGCTCATACATACAAAAGTACGATCATGTATTTACCATTTGTAAGTGCCGCAGTTCTCGAGAAATGCGAATGTTTAGGGTAAGTACGGTAAAATATTAGGGACATCCTAATATCATATTTTCCTAACTTCACTTGATTCATACCCAGGGTCGAGCAAGAGTGTGGCACACAACCGCCGTGTGCGTCCCTCCTCCCCCCCCCCTCCCCCACATTTTCGTTTGCCTATCGTAAGCATGACATAGAGGCTTTACCAAGCATAATTAGTAATATTGTGATTATCATGTGAAATAACCCCTGTGGGCGAATTTTAGCGAAGTCTGGGGGTCTCCGTTGGACCACCCAAGTGAAGTGGCCATTTCAATGATTAACTATACTTCAAAAGTGAATTGTCTACCTCTTTTTGCACCTAATACGAGGCACTACTCCCTGTTTGCTCATGCCATAATCCTGCTTCAAATAGCCATCAAGCCATGGAATTAGGAGCCAGCCAAAATTTCGTTTGTCCCATCTTTCGCTTACAGTGGTTTGCTTCCAGCAACTATTGCTCAAACAAAAGAGAACGAATTCAGCTCTAATCATTTCTACAACAACTACGTGATTTTGGTATCGAAATGTGTATAACTCGCTTCCTAAAATTCTCTTTGGAGATAAGTTAATGGGGTGTGGCACTATCCCAGAAAAGCTGTGGCTGCCACACCTTTTTAGGGATTGTGCCACACCTCATTGACTTAACTTTAAACCATTCAAATATCTGCGTTTCTTATATCATTGCTTTTGCTCAAGCTTCTTTTTTACATAGTAGGGAAATCGTTGCAAATCGTTTCTTCTAGGGACAGATATAGTGGTTTTCCCTTACCCATCAAATGGAAAATGCTGCGAAAATATTAAGTTCCGGTAGCATGCCCAGTTACGCTACTATGTAATTCGCGAAAGAAGGCGCATGGATAAATATTTGATATCAAACCTCATAATTTACATAGAAGTGATTTAAGCCTGATTGGTCTCCTATAGCTTGAGATACTGCAAGCGGAAGATGGAACAAACGAGATTCTGATTTCTTAGTTTCCAGGTTATTCGTAGTGGAATTCCTGATGCGGGCAAGAAATAGTAGCTTTTATATCAAGTGCAGAAAGAAGCAGTTAACCCACCTTTGAAACGAAGGTAAAATGTTTGAGAATGACCTCTCAGTGGATGGACCAATATTTGGCAACCTCAAAATTCGCTGGCCCGCAGGGGTTATTTGACATGAAATTACGAAAATGATGCACTTATGCCTTTGAGGCGCTTTTATTGTGTTTACTGTAGGTATACAATGTTGCATGATGAGTCTATCTGACATTGTCAACGAATATCATGTTATCGCCAACATTAGAACATTCCGATAACGACACCTCCAGCTGTGGCATGCGACGCCCAACGCTTGATCCTGGTCCATAGTTATCTGACGCTGCCTTCAGAAAGCAACGAATGAGGGAGGGAGGGGAGAGGAAGACGAGGTTGGGGAGGTCGAATGACATGAATGGGAGCAAAGTGTTGTGATTAATGCTTTGTCGCTGTGACTGCAGATTCACGTAGTTGTGTGTAAAAATGTTGAGTTAGGATCAAGCTTTGAATACATTAGCTATTCACTTCTATCGTTGCATATTTTTCTTCCAAAAGCAACGCAAGAGATTTTTTCACGAGTTTTTTACAGGTTTGTTGAAGGATAGACTGGATCGCATCGACTGAATAGTATAGTCAACTCTTAAATCCGTTTTGAAGTAGATAGGGACGTTGTTTCCGAAACAGTGGAATGCTAGGACTCTAGCAGTTACTTCATGGTGTCATACAAAGGGATTTTTTGTTGCTGCATCGTATCGATATCCGCATCTGAAAAAGGTTAGCGAGACTCTTTTGTTATGTGTAATATAATTCAGAGGAAGTTTTTTTTAGTAAAGAGAAAGCTACGCTTGTCGTGGACCAATGACTCCGGTTATAGATGAGCAAGGTTCTCCAAATAGCGGTCTGTTTCTCGACCAACTCTCGGGCGCGGTTAGGTACTCTGGCACCTGCTGAAGCGTTTGAAATAAACAAAAATTATACACCTTAGCGTAGTGATTAAGAAAACGGAATTTCGAACAATTTTGATGTTAAAAATTTAGTATCGAAAACAGTCTAAACGAACAAAAATGGGATAAATTTTTCAAGGGTGTTTCTTCCAAGTGCGTAGACTGTTTGGCTAAGAGGCGCTACAGAGACGCGCCTGGTAACAATGAAATGATTTTGAGCGTTGCGATTCGAAATTCGGCGTTGAAAATTGTCCAAACGGACAAAAAGTTTTGCTAAAAACTCTCGATTTATCATAAAACCGGCAGCTGCCAGGGTAACTAACAATAAGTTCCGTTCGCCGACCAAGGGGGCTTTTCACGGTTGGCACAGGCAAGCTGGAGATTGTTTTTAGTTGAGAAGAAGCAGAGGGGATGTCGCTGTTTTTAGTTGAGAAGAAGCAGAGGGGATGTCGCCTTTGTGTGTTTGATAAAGCCGTAATTTTTGCAGAGTTATGCGCTAGCATCGAACTCTATACTGAATATGGCCTTTCCTCCCAGTGCGAACAAAACACGGCATCGATTCTATGCTAATATTCTCGCATAGTGCGGGATTTTCAACCCTGCCTCAGATATACAACTGCCGACAATTTTCTCATCAATTTTCCACACATAAATCCGATCTACATATTAGAAACTGCGTGCTATTACCGAAACGGCCTTGTTCTCTCCTCTTCTCTTTTAAGAGTTTCCATTGAATCGGTAATTGGTGCACTTCCGCTCTCAGTTGCCATCGTAAAGTATGAATGTAGGCATTTTTTCACTCGGTTGGGCATAAGGGGATTTCGTAAATATTTGCGAACTCAAAGGTGACTTGTATCCAAAATTTGGTGCCAGCTTGTGCAAGCCCCTTTTCTAACAGTTTCCTTACATTATTTTTTCCGAAGTTTTAGATGAATTGATCACAGCTATATGCCTAAGTGTTACTTCTATCAACGGCAATCATCTGGCTGAATGTTATTCCATACAGAAACGGCGTCTTTATTGTATCCATCTACCAGACGACAGGTAAAGACACCGCTAACATGCTTGTCCTCTTTTCTAATCACCGCGCATATAAAGGATCTGCTGTAATACTTGAAAGAATTGCTTATTTTGCGCGACTACTATCAAGCCCCCAATATGTTTCCGATGCGGCTCTTTCGACGAGCATTGAACATGGAATGGTAAATCAGGCAGCATTCGATGTAACATTTCTCATCTTTTTAAGAGCCGGCGTTTTCTTTGCGATGCATGCAAAATTTGCGAAAAAAATCGCCTGTTTCCCAGTTTTACGAGTACACAATGTTGAACAGCACTGTTGATTATACTCTTCCAAAAAAGAAATAAACACGACGAAATCTCGAGATCTTGACAAGGGAATTGGCTAGCCTAAAATGTATGTGTAGAAATAAGAACGAAAAAGGCCAGTATAAAAATGGAAAAAGTGACGAACAAGGGTAGAAGCAAGAGCGGCGTATGTTATGCACAATATGGTTTTCGCTCGTTGCAGCATACTATAGCGCTCAGGGTCCTTCATACTGATCCCGAAGTGTGGGAACAGCTTCAGCACAGCGCTCAGTTCGAGCGCTGTGCTGGAACTGTTCCCGAATTTCCGGATCAGTATGAACGCAGCCTTGAGCGCATAGTATACTTGGGTCCGAATCGAATAGAAATTCGATCATTCGAATAAAACATTCGAATATATTCGTATTCGAAATTCGATATTCGGAGTTCTTCCATTTTCGAATAATATTCGAAACTCGAATAATTGAGAAAACGGGGTTTCGAATAAAATTCGAAAACTCGAATAATTAAAAAACGAGGATTCGAATATTATTCGAAATCTCGAATAATCAAAAAACGTGGTTTCGAATAGATTTTATTCAAATGGTTTATTCGAATATTTATTCGAATTCGTATTCGAATGAACTCCGTATTCACATTATTCGACTTTGCTGCAGAGCAACTGCTGAGTATCAAGCTTATCGCGTTTTTTCGCAAAACTCGGTAATGCATCTTTTGCAACCGTCATGTCCTTTGAACTGTACGGAGAGTCGCATTCTTCCGACTGCTTGCGACAGTGAAAAAATCATATGTGGTTTTTAATTGATGCTTTTTCGATCAATAAGATTGTTCGCACTGCTATTGGCACCAAATCAGCAAAGAAGCTATCAAATTCAAGCTCATGTTCCGAGTTCTTATATTGAAAGTGTTTTGAAAATCCTGTTTTTCTTTCTTTGCATTGCTCATGCTTGTGGTACGCAAAGCCCACACTAGTGAGCACTCTTGCTCGCATAAGTTATATTGCGCAACTGCTCTATTCGCTACGTTAGAGATTTTTGCGAATTGGTGCATTTTGAGTAAAGGACATCGCAGTTGTAGTAGAGGATTAGACGCTTTAGATCGCCGTACGCGGCTTGCCAGTTAAAAGATGTCTTCAAATGTAACGCCAGCTTACCACAAATGTTTAGCGTGTACAACTTAAAAGAAAAATGCCCTGCATTCTGTACTTTAGAATAAGTCTTGGACATTTTTGGAGAAGTTTGAGCTGCGGGGCTGTGAGTTGGAGTTGGTACAAGAGGGTAAGTGAGGGTGCTGATTATGGATAAAAAATTTACATTAATTATGGATAAAAAATTTACTTTATCGATTTTATCGATTTTCGGAGAACTTTGAGCTATGGGGCTGGGGTTGGTACAGGGGGGGGGGGGTAAATGAGGATGCTAATTAAAACCGAAATCTATTTTATCGATTCCGGCGATTTTTTGGAAAACTTTGGGCTAGAAGTTGGATAGGGGGATGCGAGGGTCCTGATTATGAACGGATCGGCTTTAGTCAGACATGTCGGCAAGTTTGAGATATGGTTGCTCTAGTTATTCGATAAGTCATTCGAATATCTATTAGAAATTCGACTTCCAAAGTTCGAATTTCGAATATATTCGATATTCATTCATTCGATATTTTTGATTTTCCGAATTTATTCGGAATTCATTCATTCGAGAATTTTTGACCCTCGAATTTATTCGAAACTCGTTTATTCGAGATTTCTTATTTTCGAATTTATTCAATATTCGTTTATTCGAAATTTTTCCTTTTCGAATTAATTCTATATTCATTCATCGATGAAAAATTTTCGAATTACCCAAGTATAGCGCATAGGTAAGTGATTGCACTGGGCCGGACTGTTTCTGTTACAGTCAGTTTTAACCTATTTTAGACCTAAGACACATCTCCGGCGATCAGACTGCGTAAGCGACCGTTCATCGCGTGAAAATCGCTCATCGCTCGATTTCCAGGCGTACCCATAGCTATTTCTAGACGCTCATACATCACACCATCTTATACGCATTTTTGGGAAATTTGCGCTAGTTTGTCTGAAGTGCATTTATTCAAAAAAAATTAGAACAAAAAAAAACGCGACATATGCTTCCAGAGAACACTACATTAAAGGAGGAGGGATATGGAATCTTAACATTCCGCTGATTTCTATCTACATATTCTTATAGACCCAAGTTAACATCTGCAATGAAACCGACTACGAGTTCATAAACATTTGAGTTCATTCTTTCAGTGTGTAGCCTTATATGCTAGCGCTTCGTGACAGTAGGGTCATGTTCAGGGTCAAGCTAGGGGTGTGGCACACGATCGCTGATTACGACCCCCCCTTCCTGATTGCTGTCTTAATAAGACCCCCCCCCCTGAATTATATACCTAAGATAGCATTACCTGAAGGCCTTGTCAAACATAACGGGCAACATATTCATAATGAGCATGTCAATTAACCCCTGTAGACAAAGTTTGAGCGAATTCTGAAGGTTCAAGATACTAGTCTACCTAAGTGAAATGGTCATTTTCCAACATGATTAACTTTGTTTCAAAGGTGAATTACCTATCCGCTTTTGCACTCAAAACAAAGCACTACTCCTTCTTTGTCCAGCTCGAAATCCCGCTTCAAAAGGCCCCCAAACTGTGAAATTAGAGGTCATCCGGAAGCACGTTTTCCCCATTTTCCGCTTTTGATGGCTGTGCTTTCACCACTATTACTCAGAGCAAAGAAAACGAATCAGGCTCGAATCACTCCTGTGAAAACTAGGAGATCTAGGCTTTCAATTCGATATAAATATGGTCTGCTAAAAATGTTTTTAGGATGTGCCACACCCCATTAACTATATCAAAAAACATTTTTAGCGAACAGTATATATATGAATCGAGAGCCTAAACCTCGTAGATTCCATAGGAATGTTTTAAGCCTGATTCGTCTTCTTAGCTCTGAGTAACATTTGGTGAAAGCACAGCCATTAAAAGGAAAAATGGGAAAAATTAGATTTTGGTTGGCTTCTAATTCCACAGTTTGGAGGTCTTTTGAAGCGGGATTTCTGAGATGGACAAAGAAGGAGTGGTGCTTTGTCTTGAGTGCAAAAACGGATAGCTAATTCACCTTTGAAACAAAGTTAAATTTTATTGGAATATGACCATTTCACTTATGTAGCCTAGTATTTTGGATCTTCAGAATTCGCTCAAACTTTGTCTACAGGGGTTAATTGACATGCTAATTATGGATATGGTACGAATATCATGTTATCACTATTATCAGATTACCCACCTACGACCCCCTCCCCTTTTGACTCCTCAATACGACCCCCCAGAAGTGGCGTGCCACACCCCACGCTTGACCCTGGTCATGCTTATTATACTCTAAAGAAGGGTATGCATATTTCGAGTGCTTCGCGAGCTCTTGTCTGCCAATCTGCGAATGATCATACTATATGCCTGAGCACCTGAGATTGCATACTTTTACTTCGGATACAGTCACCTTTCACTTGTGACCATGAAACGAGAACAGGGGAAGATTAGCGCATTGCGAGAACAGTAAATGTATGCTAACGCTGACGGTAAGGTGACATAGAAGCGCTCCATACTATATACTTAGGCATGTGTCACTTCTCAAGGACTAATGGTATGAAATTAGCCAACCATCTCCTTCTTTTGCAAAGAAGAAGCGCTTGTGTGAGATGGAATAATTTTGAATGAAAGCATTTGCACAAATGAAGAGATTCGCAAAGAAGAAGCCGTTCTAGCAGTTCGCCCATCGCCGATGCAGAATTAGCAGCGGCGGCACGGCTAAGTTCCAACGATGTCGCTACGTCCATACCGTTCAAAATTGCTCCGCGAGTACTCGCACCGTCGATCTAATACAGACGCGGGGCTATTACACAGTAAAAGCGCCGCACGACGGACTTGGAACACTTTCCGAGAAAAAAATCGCGCACTGACGGAAATCGCGGAAAATATTTCCTGTGCCTTAGGCCTAAGGCATACCTGAAGCGATTACAGTCGCTGCGCGATTTGGCACTGCAGCGATGTTCATAACTGGCTGGCTGCTCTACTTGGGCAAAACTCGAAGTGTTTGCGACAACTCACAAAAGCTAGGGGCCTACTCAGACAATCACAGGCTCTCAGCGGGCCCCACCAAAAGCGTCGTTGCCTTATCGGAGCCACTGTCGCTTCCCGCTGAGAGCTTTGTCGGAGCTTTGTCGGAGCTTGTCGGAGCGGGCTCGCTGCCCGCTGAGCCCGCTCCGACAAGATCCGACAAAACTCCGACAAAGCTCTCAGCGGGAAGCGACAGTGAGGCGATGAGGCCACCGCGCTTTTGGTGGGTCTAGGCGGTGGCTTTGTGGCTGCCGGCTGAGAGCATTTGATTGTCTGAGTATGCGCCTGACAGACGCGCGATAAATCTGCAAAAATCTGGCAGACCGCAAAGTCGCGCTGATGTAGCGATTTGAAGAAATCGCGGGAGGTATGCCTTAGGGTTTTAGGTGGACGTTAGGCTGACGCGTACGCTGCGCAACGGTTTGCACCGTATGCATTGACAGTCAGAGTTTATGTCTGCGTCTCATTCTCCTCCGCCTTGCTTGGCAGGCCAGCGCACTACATTTTCCTTCAAAAACTCCATAATATTACCTGAACATTTAGAGCGTGCAAGTCTTGGGAGCTGCAGTTCGTGCTTAGGAACGCCGACGAGAATGGTGTATATTATGTTGATAAATTTGATGTGCCTGAACAATCACCTCTAGAAAACAAATCGGTGGTGATTGGAAGTGATGGCGTAGTTAAGGTATGTTTATCTTATAGATAACTAGCTAGAACCCTCAGCCAAGACTCTTTCGTGCGAAATTCTTTGCCCTTAGAGTATTGGCGGATTTAAATAGATTACTTGGTCAAGACGCTCTCTGCCAAACTTTGGCAAAATGCTGTTCTCTCGCCAGTCGTCCTCATTCCTGATTAGGATTTTGTTTCTGCAGACTTGTTGTCATTGTTTATGTTCCGTTTTCTGCTGTTTCATTTTCTGTTTCCTCTGTTTGTTTTTGTTTTTTTAGCTTACCGCTTTTCTGTTTGTTTCTTTTTTGTTGTTCTCTACTTTATGTTTCCTTCAGCAGATAATCATACTGTTCAGGTTCATCTTTTTTGGATGTTTACCTCAGTTAGTTATAACCGTATCAATAAAGAATAAAGAATATCCGGCTCCGCCCGACCCTGTCAAAATACTATGATAAACCCACCATCCCTATTCCTTCACAACTTTTCCCTGTCCCCACTTCTACATGTCAATTTCCCATCCCTTTTGTTTTTGTAATCAACAGGTTCACTTACCCCTTCCCCTCTCCCTCCCCCTTGATAGTTCCAAGGCCTATATCTACCCTCAGATCTAGGCGTTAGTCCTTAAGGGAATTCTCGAAAACTTAACATAAAGCTTTTTTCATGCCTATCCGGTACGCCGAATTTAGAAAACTAATCTAATATATTAAGAATCGTAAGCGGATTTCAAAAAACATCAGATAGTAGGAAACCGTGCGCCGCTCCCAACGAACGCGCCTGCAAATTTAACTGCTTAGGACAATGAGAAAATGAATGTATCGTTACATTCCGACTATGTATATGTTGTATGTGTTTCTACTACTTTTCTGTAAACGTATCTAACCAAAGCAAACTGCCTAAGTGTTATTATTTTTTGTATGATCATTAATGAGCAACCACTGTTCATCTTTCCTTCGATCTCTTCTTGTTTTGAAGGCCATGAAGACATTCAAAAGTTATGCTTAATATCTAATCCGACAGTACCAAGCATATTTGTGGTAAGATCATATGCGGTTGAAGTATAGTAAATATAAACCACATCTCGAAACCCGGGATTCTTCGAAAAACTCGATGTTTCATTCACTAGTTTGTCCTTGTCGGAAACATGCATACAACTTTTTTTTCAATTGTCTTTCTTTTTTACAAGTCAAACTCTACTAAGCTTCAATACGCCAATGAAGCGAAGAGTAAAAGTAAATACACCAGGTAGAGGACATCTTATACATGTTAGATATATTACTGGGACATAGCTACGTATATTTCGCAGGGAAGGTGTACAAACTTGGGGGAATACCACAAGCGGCGTCCTGTAGTCCATAAATAGCAGATCATACTATACAATCATGGATTGCTCGTGAATTGCTGGGGTCCTGGAGCGATTTGCGCTTTGAAATGCCGCCAAATGAAAGAATTCAAACTCATTGCAGCGTTTTTATCTGGTTTTCAAGAGTTTCTTTTGCTCTTAATATCTTATCTGTTTTGCGTCTTGTTTTCTTCCCTGATCTTCTGTAAACAACCTTCATTTCATGAGGTGCAGATGCTCAAATAACCTTCGCTTTTGACGCCTTGTCTCTATACTATCGGAGGTATGACTGAGACAAGGACAAAATAGTGAATGAAACATTGAGGTTTTCGAAGAATCCCAGCTTGGAGATGTGGTTTATGTCTACTATACTTCAACCGCATATGATCTTACCACAAATATGCTTGGTACTGTCGGATTAGATATTAACACGTTGACGACGAGCCATTTTCTGAAGGTCTGTCCCTGTGGACGAACCGTTTCCGGGCATTTTCACAGCCGGTGCATATATGTATGCATGCATCTATGCGTGAGATACAAAAATGCAAGTGGGCGGGGAAGCTCCGCCCAATTTTGGCAAGCCCCGCCCACTTTTCAAAAATGCTGGAAATCGCTCAAAATCAATGAATTCGTGCAAATTCCGACATTTTTTAAAAGTGGGCGGAGCTTGCCAATCAGGGGCGGAGTTTGCCTGACGGTGGGCGGAGCCCGTATAAAAGTTACTTGAGGTCTTTGCGTTTATCTACGGCCTCATCCATGCTTTTTATGAACAAAAAGGGTCTCTATGAGGGGTATAGAAGTGGGCGGAGTTTGCCAAAAAGGGGCGGGGCTAATACATGAGATACATCTGAGCCTATGTTGGTTATATGAACAAAAACTGAGAGGATTGGACAGATAGTATTGAAATTAAGGCCGCCGCGCACCATTGCGCGGCGTCGTCCACAGGGACAGACTGCCTGCCGCGCACCATTGCGCGGCACTGTCGTCAACGTGTTAAGCATAACTTTTGAATGTCTTCATGGCCTCCAAAACAAGAAGAGATTGAAGGAAAGATGAACAGTGGTTGGTCATCAATGACCATACAAAAAATAATAACACCTAGGCATGACTCATGCCCGTCCTTCATGCTGATGTAACTCTTATTGATAAATTGGTAGCAGTGATTGCATTCAAAATCGCATCGTTGCGGAGTTCATTACCTAGAACACATTAGCAAATCATTGTATCTTATATATAAAGCTGAATGTCTGTTTGTCTGTATGTCTGTCTGTATGTCTGTCTGTCTGTATGTATGTGTGTACGTATGTTCCGAATAGAAAATTCCATTTCTGAACCGATCGGGACCAAACTTGGCACACATACACTTCGGGCCCCGGCGGGTGTCATAGGCTACTTTTCGTCATCGATCGATATCGATTTTATCGATTTTATCGATTTTTTTGCAAAGTTTGAGCTACGGGGCTGGGAGTTTGCACAGGGGGGTAATCGAGCATGGGGATTCCGAATACAATATTGGTTTTCGGGATTATCGATTACTTTTATCGATTTTATCGATTTTTTTGCAAAGTTTGAGCTACGGGGCTGGGAGTTTGCACAGGGGGGTAATCGAGCATGGGGATTCCGAATACAATATTGGTTTTCGGGATTATCGATTACTTTTATCGATTTTATCGATTTTTTTGCAAAGTTTGAGCTAGGGGGCTGGGAGTTGGCACAGGGGGGTAATCGAGCATGCTGATCACTCCCAAGGGGGGTGATCAGCATGCTCGATTACACCCCTGTGCCAAATTCCAGCCCCCTAGCTCAAATTTTCAAAAATCGATAAAATCGGTAAAAGTAATGGACGATCTTGAAAACTAATATTGTATTCGTAATCTGCATGCTCGATTACCCCCCTGTGCAAACTCCGAGCCCCGCAGGTCAAACTTTACAAAAAAAATCGATAAAATCGATAAAAGTAATGGACGATCCTGAAAACTAATATTGTGTTCGTAATCAGCATGCTCGATTACCCCCTGTGCAAAATCCCAGCCTCGCATGTCAAAATTTACAAAAAATCGATAAAATCAATAAAAGTAATCGATAATTCTGAAAACTAATATTGTATTTGGAATCCCCATGCTCACTTCCCCCCCTGTGCCAACTCCTAGCCCTGTGGGTGAACTCTGCAAAAAAATCGATAAAAATCGGTAAAATCGACATCGATCGATAACGAAAAGTGGACTGTGACACCCGCCGGGGCTCGAAGTGTATGTGTGCCAAGTTTGGTCCGGATACGGCGGAGCCGGGTAAGCCAGCTAGTTTAGAATAGGGCCACGCGTACAGTCGTAAGCTTTATTTTCTCCGGTCGAAGAGGAGACCAGAGCTTGTGACAACGGTTAAAATTTGCGGCATGATTGAAGTCACTATTCAAAGGTTGCTCGTATGTCTTCCATCGGCTACTTTTGTTTTGGAACACAAAACTCAGAACTCTTGATTTATGTTAGTAAACTCCGAAAAATGAACTCTAGATCAAGGTTTCAAATGCTATAATCACATATGTGAGAGGTAGCAACGGCTGGCTAATGGGTAGCCTACAGTGGAGAGAGGAGCCTCGCCAAATTGAAGCTGTCGAGAATGAGATGAATTTGTGCATGACCTGGTTTCGCTGGTAATTCCAGTATTCCCATTGTATGGAAATTCACGTTAACTTTTGAAAAAGTTTTGGGGAGGGGGAAGAGGGAAGTGGCTGTTTGGGGAGGGGAAAGAGGGAAGTGGCTGTCACTAGCACCTTTTTCTGGATTTCAGAATTATAGATTCGCAGAAATTCAAAGTATTGAAAATTTTTGAGGATGTGGCTAATGTCGCGCCCCAAAGAATTTTTGCCCCTTCCCCCTCCCACCCCCCCCGCAAAAGATTTTCTGGGATTGCTTTCCAGCATATCTTATATATAAGCTGAATGTCTGTTTGTCTGTCTGTGTGTACGTACAGGGCTTTTCAACCTGAGAGAGTCGCAAGTTTCGCTTGCGCGGCTCCTCCAACGCGGCCGCCTCGCTCAGGCCGCGCGCGGCGTTTGCTGCGTATCGCCCGTCGCCAAGCTTCAGTCGACGCGCAGCCAGCGCCACGAACGCTGCGCGGACCTAAGCGTGGCGTCCTAGCGGGGCGGGTTGGACACTCAGGTTGTAAAGCCCTGTATGTTCCGAATAGAAAATTCCATTTCTGAACCGATCCGGACCAAACTTGGCACACATACACTTCGGGCCCCGGCGGGTGTCATAGGCTACTTTTTGTCATCGATCGATATCGATTTTATCGATTTTTTGCAAAATTTGAGCTACGGGACTGGGAGTTGGTACAGGGGGGGGGGTAATCGAGCATGCTGACTACGAATAAAATAATGACAGGGCCGGGCGGAGCCGGGTAAGCCATCTAGTATTCAATAAAATCACCTTACTTGTTTGACATCGCAGAATGCAAGTAAGGGCCACATGCACTAACATGGCCGCGGGGAGGGGATCGCAGCTTAAAAGAAAGCTTCATATTTCGAAACTCCAGATACTTGGATTTCACGTTGTGTACCTATCCGTAAGTATTCTTACGTTCCTTCACTATGAACATGTTGAACAGGAGCGAGAAGCTGTACAAACCGCATTTTCCAGCTTTTGTATGATCCCTGATAATCCCCGGCGCTTTTCTTTAATGTCATTTTTCTTTCTCCGAAGTTAACGAAGAACATCCAAAGTTGTGCAGATTATCTAACCCAACAGTGCTAAGCATGTTGCTGATAAGAACAAATGATGTTTTGAAGTCATGAAATTTTCGATGATCCACAGGTCGAAATTTGGGGTATACCGAAAAATTCGATTTTTCAAAAATTCATTTGTTCTCATCAGCAACATGCTTAGCACTGTTGTGTTAGCTGTTCAGTATAACTTTGGAAGGTTTTCGTTAACTTCGGAGAAAGAAAAATGACTTTGAAGAATAGATGTTCGTCCCCTAGGGATCATCAGGGGATCCTACAAAAAGCTGGGAAATGCGGCTTGTACAGCTTCTCGCTTCTGCTCAATATGTTCATAGTGAAGGATGGTGGGAGTACTTACGGACAGGTAGACAGCGTGAAATCCAGATATCCTGAGCTTCAGGATATGAAGCTTTCCTCTGAAGCTGCAATCCCCTCCCCAGCGGAAATGTTAGTGCATGCGGCCCTAAATGACATTTCGTGGCGAAGCACATTTGCAGTACTTTTGAGATCTTAAAACTTACAACCTTGTATCAGAAAATCAACATTTGCAGTTTAGCTCCAAGCGTACGTCTCGATCAGCTATTGCGCACATCACGAAAGCTATGAACGCAAGGTTTTCTGGTCCGAGCAGTTTGGAAGGGTGCTAGCTGGAGAGGACGTTGCTAATGCTCAACGATATGTTATATATTCCACAAGGGTCGAACGGTAAGTTTCTATTGTTTTTCTCGTTTGACTAAGACAACGAACACTTTGCATATGATTAGGACGTTTAAGTTTGTGCCGTTTAAATTATTTCAGAAATTTTTTCACTTCTACGAAATGCATGCGCTTGGAAGCTTTATATTCTGCTTTGCTGAATAGTTTGCTTGTTTTCCGTGTATCCATCAATTAAATCGTGTTAGGCCTCGCCCAAACTTCATACTATTTCAGTCGCGACGCGATCTGACAATACACCGATTGTTTATAGTAAGCGCATCGTGATTTTACAGAAGAAAGGGTATTTTAACGGTCTGCGAGAGTTACACACTACGCAGCTGTAGTGTTCAAATGTTGCATTTGAGACATTTGGTAAATCGCCAAATCGCATCACGACTCACATGAAGTATGCCTAAGGCCTCAGACAGCATTAAAAATGGCGATCTTCGGCATTAAAATTCATCTTTGTTTTGCTTCGGCCTCCAAAGCGGCCACACTGCCGCGAATGCAGCTTGGAATTCTACAATATATGTGGAAAGCTGGCTTATGTTTCAACTGTCAAGCGGATGAACCGAGCTGCGTGCTTACAAGGCAAGGATGGTCAGTCGAAGTGGCCCTTTGCGATGATTTGTATACTATGCTGGAGGGCGTAAGATGCTGATTCCAAATCTGTCCTCCTTATCTGCGGAGCTTTCCTGGACGAGGAGTTATGAGCGTTTGAGCAGAAAAATGAATGTTTTTCTGGGATAAAAAAGTTGCAAAAATTTTCCTAGCTCTTGAATTAGACAGCCTAAGTGCGGATAAATCTTACTTGAGAGTATTTATTTTATAGAGTGCTGGAAAGATTACCACTGGCCCATTTAAGCGCTAGGAAAAATGTTACATCTGTTTTCATATTATTTGCACATTCAATTTTTTCTCTCCAATAAATGCTCATAACTTCTCTTGAAGGAATGCGCCGCAGATAATGCAGATTTGAAATTAGCATTATGGCCCTCTAAGATGGTATACAACCCATCTCAAAAGGCCACTTCGACCAACCATCCTTCAGAATGTGAGTAGAGGTGGTGATGGTTAAGTTAGAAGCAAATCGAAAAATGGTATCCCTTTACGCTTGCTGTCCTGTACGTCTAGTTGGTCGAGCCGTACTGTAGAAATACACTAACTAAGAACTACTTGTTGGTGAGCTAGTGATTCGTTTGATTTTTGCGCATACCTGTGGCCCTCTTCATCGTATTCGGTAAGCTCCACTCTCAAGATAAAAAGATCGAAACGGAAATTGAATATATCTATGTTTTTTCTTTTATTTTATTTATAAAGTTGATTGCGCCTACGGAATCGGGCGGGGAATGAGCACCCGCGCGCGTGTCTCTTGCGGGCTAACATTGGCATTTGCGCGCATGAGTCATCATAGCGCCCGTACTCTGCAGCCGCGTTGCAGGCACGCTCGCGTGCGTTTAGCCTACAGCAACCCGGGCAATTTCGTGCAGGCGACTTTAGCAGGAATTCTTGTCAACTTGGACGTGCATGGGTTCTTGGAATGCGCCCATTCTTGCGTTGGTGTACTAGGGTAGATCAACTCTCGTTCACTTCCTGCGTCGCATGAACGTTGCAAATAGTCCGCCAGTTACGCTCGCGGAAGTCGAAGAGACCTCATCAAAGTGGAAGTGCGCTATGCGCCTCGCTAATCACCTCAGGGAACGGCCATGGATTGCCGGCAACGGTTGCCGAGGTTGTTGGGGTTGCCGAGATTGCCGGCGTTGCCAGGGTCAGAGACAGCTTAGAGAGCGAGCGAAAAGTGGAGACTATTAAGAGGTTGTACAACGACCGGCAACGCCAGCAACCGGGTAGGGTCAGGAGTCACGTCGCGAAGCGACGCCGCAGCGACGTCAAGCAATACAGTCCTCAGCTCCTGTCAGTACTCCTGCCGCAATGTTACTTGTGGCATCGAATCATGCATCTGCCGCCACCCCCGACCCCCCCCCCCCCCCGCCTATGTGGCGCCGTGCCACTTTAGCACCGGAGAGTTTTTGTGAGACACAAAACTTGGGCGCGGCGAGAGGCCGCCGCGCGTCAGAAACAGCTTAGAGAGCGCGCGAAACGTGGAACCTATCATTTAACTAGCGCACAGATTCCAAGACTAGGTCTAACTGCTACCTTTTCAGCTTGTTTTCTATGAAGTTTTTTTTTCAATCTCCTCTAATTTTCTCATGTAGCGCTTGGTACGAAATCATTACTGTTATTTATTTACATAGACTAAACTATAATAATTATAACTATGATAACAAGCAGAACCAGATGATTGATGTAAGCGTACGTTCTGTCTGATATCACAGACTGCTTTTGTGACAGATCGGAGAAGAAGCCTATACAACCCTATGGGAGAGCAATTGCAGGAATCTTCAAACAAAGTTCGAGGGTTGTCATACCGCAACTCGCACTCCCCATGATTTCAAAAATGATGAGCAAGGGCTTGGTGTGTCAGTAGCGACTCGGACACTATGTGCCGTCGGAATGGGGCTGCCCTGCGGTCATATGCAACGAATACGCACCCTTTCACATGCATGGAGGTGGGCGAGAAGTCCAGGTCCCTCCTAGATTCGACGACATACAGTCGCTTCATTTCATATGATCATGTGTGTCATTGCACACACAGTTCACCTTTGGCGTCCCATCCTGGATTCGTGGGAGTAACAAGCCTTCAGGTAAGTGTTTCCAAGGTGTTCTTAGCATTTTCTTTCCTTTTTAGTTACTAGTCACCTCATATTGATGTAATTGATAACAATCGGTAAGTCTCTTGCGTTTTTGCGATTGCAAATCCAGGGATGAGGACGCCAAAGTGGACTGTGTGTGCAATGGCACACATGATCATATGAAATGAAGCGACTGTATAGTCCACCACCCATAAGCGACTACCATGATACTCGAGACGTATCAGGGACTTATACTTCCTTGCTTCTCCAAGCTACACGATCTACGCTCTCTTTAAGGGTTATTGTAATTCTCTCACTCAGTTTACTCGTACAAATTTTTTCATTTCCAACAGATTTATGCTAAAACTGTGCGCTATACCTGCGTGTGCCAATCGTAACTTTGCCCACTGCTTGTATCTGCTTATATATATGTATGAATTGCGGGCGGTGAATTCCCAGGAAATTGGTATCAACATCTGCCAAGTTTCTGCCGTGCCAGGTTATGACTCATCATTGATCGAAGTGCTTGTCCTCAGCATACTATTTCAAAACACAGCAAGCGAGTTTGTTAACTTCACAAGTAAGTATACAGTAAATTTTTCCTCTAATATAGTGTCCTGCGGTGCTGAGATTGGGCAGCCAAATTTGCGCCTACTCAGACAGTCGAAGAGATACTTCCGGCGGGCAAATGGCGCGAATCTGCCACTTCGCGCATTGTGGGATTATAATATTATTTTGATGTGCAGACGACAGAAAATGAAACAGAAAGACGGTTGCGAAATCAACACATGCCGTAGCACCAGAAAGGGCGTTCCGGCTCGCGAAAGGGGCGTTCCGGCTCGCGAAAGGGGCGTCCCGGCTCTTTCTGGCGCTTTTGGGCGCCTTGAGCTTTATCCGGCGAAGATGGGTCCCTTAGAGAAAGGTGCCGGCAACAGTTGCCGAGGTCGCTGGGGTTGCCGGCGTTGCCGGTCGTTGTAGGACCCCATGATTGCCTCCATGTTTCGTGCGCTCTCTAAGCAGTCTCTGATCCCGGCAAAGCCGGCAACCTCGGCAATCCCAACAACCTCGCAACCTCGGCAACAGTTGCCGGCAACCTATGGCAGTTCCTTTACAGGCGTTGCGTGCACCGCCATTAAAGGCAGTGTCCCGGCAGATTTTACATTTCCATCTTTTTGCAAAATTTGGGCCATTTCCACCCCTAGACCCCGAATCTGATCTTTGAAACAGGTGATTTTTTTTTCGTGGCGTTTACGCAACTTCCAAAAGGGGGCTTGGACGAGAATTTTAATGGAAAGTTGGGAGGCGCGCAAAAACCCTGCTGACTATAATTTTTGCTCTGGATAGCATGCACAATGCGGGAGAGCGATCGTGGGGTCCCGCGCCGAACATTAAGTGAAGCCGTCCGAGCGCGCGCCGATTGGGGTTGCGCGCGCCGGTTCGAGGGCTATTTTCCCGGCCCAGGGGGAACATCAACCAGCCGGACTGCGCCAGGAGGTCAGTAGGATGACCAGGAACCCCACTATAGCAATATCCCCAAAGCGCGAATCTGCCGGGACACTGCCTTTAAAGGCAGTGTCACGGCAGATTTTGCATTTCCATATTTTTGCATGTTTTGGGTCTTTTCAACGCGTCGACCCCAAATTTAAGCTCTGAAACGGTTGAAAAGACCTTTTTCGGGCGTTTACTCAATTTTCAAAAGGCTCGGACGAGAATTTCAGTGAAAAGTTGGGAGGCCCCGGCACGAAGACCCTGCCGCCTGTAATTTTTTGCTTTAGATAGCATGCACAATGAGGGAGAGCGCTCGTGGGGTCCCGCGCCTAACACGCAAGGAAAGCCGTCCGAGCGCGAGCCGGTTCAAGGGCCATTTTCTCGGCCCAGGGGGAACAGCCGGACTGCACCTGGAGGCCGGTGGGGTGACCAGGAACCCTACCACACCACCTTCCCCCAGGACCCATCTGCCGGGACTCTGCCTTCAATGCTTGTTCGAAATTCGACTTCCATATCTGCGAAATGATAATCCAGACGGAGTTGTGATTTTTTTTTCATAAATCGCACTATGCGAAGGGTCAAAATCATAAGTACAAGACAGTGGCGTACCGAGGGGGGGGCGGGAGGAGCGCGCCCCCCCCCCCCGTGAACGGGTCGCGAAATTTTTGAAAGTTACTTACATGGGTTATAAAATTGTGCAAATGACCTGTCTACACTTGTAAATAATTAAAATAATTTTTAAAATTTTTTAAAAATTCAATTTAGCTTTATAAAAATTTTTTCTCGGTGCGTGGCTATCGCCACGCACCTTCATCAGAAAATTTTTTTGTCGCGCCCCCCCCCCCCCGAGCCGAAATCCTGGGTACGCCACTGGTACAAGATTATTTTGCCTTCTGAACCGATGAATATGAATTAGTTCGCTTTATTACAACAGTACACAGTCTCAGATATCCTTTGACAGCATTTAGAGGCAGTGTCCGGGCAGAATATCGATTGTGAGATTGTGCTTACCCGGGGCATATTCGCTATGCGAATCCGAAAACCACAATGGAGAGCCTAGGGAAACACTAGGGAAGACCCCGCCCTCCCTGCTTATTCCCCTCCTGCGTTAGAGTCCTTTTTGCCGTTTTCGCGTTCTCCACTGTGGGTCGGATTCAGCATAGCGAATATGCCCGAGTAAGCACAAAATCTCAACATCGACTTTTTGACCGGACACTGCCTTTGAAGTGCACGAGCTACTTTTAGGATAAAACGTTTAGAACTTCCTTCAGAACAGATGCAGATTTAGCGCCGAGATGCACCTTATGGTACACATCGTATCTTATTGGTCGTGGTCATGTATCCTTTCCTAGTAAATCGAATCTCTCACAGAATGGTATCTCAGGTTGGACGAAAAAGCAAGATAACGATCGCACGATTCGAAATAATTGATGTTCATTTTGATCACTGTCGCGTAGACTAGAGTAATGAGAAATTCTTTGAAATTGTATAGTACTGTTCGAAAGAATCGGTGCTTCAACTGTTTCCTCGGTTGTGAAAGCATCAGCATACGTCGTTATCTGAGCAAAACGGTTGGATCATATTGTTGTCCATTTCGCTATAGTTTGGCCTTGGAGACCTACTTGAAGCAAAACTGATTATTCGTAATATTTTCTACAAAACAATTAGTAGATTACTTCACAAAGTAACTGTGTTTAGTTTGTAAATTAGTGCCTACTTCTTTTCTATCTGCCTGTACATATGGTAGTTATCAAATGCCTTCCAGCGACAAGTCCGAATTGGCAAAATCTTACGACGTCGACTTCCGCATTTGCGATCTCTTGAAGCCTGTCGTCGATGAGGCTGTGGTTGAGAGGTGCCAGAAATTAATGATGGAAGAGCAGGTAATTAAATTTATTAAGTCATATCTTTGTGATCTGAAGGTCTGAGAATTACTATGGTTTCCAAGCAAAAAATGAACAATCGGGTAAAGTACCTTCACTAAGACCGCGCTAAGATAATTCTAAATCTGCCATTCAATCGCTAAATTTTGCTAGGCAAATCTGTAGACGTATTTTTGGGGCAACTGACGTTGGTATGGGTAGATTATTACTGGAGCGAAGGCCAATTAGCTTTCGAGCCTGTCCGGCCGTCTCTCAAACAGCAGAACAATGTTAGGCTAGAATGAAAATGTAACTAAATTAAATTTGCTTTTGATTTCAAGATTTATTTATTGGAGAACATTATACAAAAATGCTAAATGCTTGCAATATCTTCATAAAATTTATTATATATGGGTGTTAGGCACACGCCATACATGATCCTCTTAAACCGCTTGATTCACGTCATCCACTTCGCTATGTCAGTTACTGATTTGACCAAGAGCGAAGTGATCAAGTGGATCAAGCGGACCAAGTGGATCAAGTATGACGTGTGCCTTAGATATGTATCCAGCATGAGGCTTGGGTAATAGTAGGTACTGTGATGAAACTTCTTGATCAAGTAGGATATCAACTATGATGTATACTCGGAAGTAGCGTATAGCTTCAGAAGTAAATGCTCAGTGAGCACATGTGCAAGAGCACTCTTCAAAAATTTTTTCAGGAAAGTCTTTATGAACGAAGCAAACCGAGGAGCAATTCTAACAGTCCCCAGCCGTCGACACCTCGACAGGAACTTGGTCAGGCATCATTTAGTACCATAGGTTGGTACGCTTTGGTGTTATCTCAAGAAGGGGAAATGCATAATCTGACACATTTAGCCAATACTTTCGCATTTCGTGAAGGAAAACCAAGAGGAAATGGCTTGTATGCTGGTATGAACTACCCAAGACCCCTATACGGCAATGAGCGTAAAAAGAAGATGAGCGAGTATAAAGAGAAGGTGAGGCACTTGAATTTCATGCAAAGCAACTACGATACTACACGGCAGCGGCAGTGGAGTTTTTTCTGCGAGAGGGGGAGGGGGAAAGAACGCCTTCCGAAAAGCTTTCTGAGGTGCTTTCCATAATTTTCACATGCCTACAACTTCAAATCTGAAGAAAATGAGGCATTTTTACAATATTCAAAAAGTCATATCCCAAAAGATCATCCTAATATGAAAGTAAAAGCAGTTATGTTTTAACGTTTTTGTTACGCATCTACACCAATATTGGAGTTTCGTTCGATTTCTTCTATTTCGATCCCTCACTTGATGCATCACGTTAAAGCGCCTCAAGGCTTGAGGAAATGCAAAAAAAGAGTGATGTGGTAAAAACTGCATTTGAAAAGTCAATGGTGAAGACGTTACTGTTAGCCTCCAGTAAACACCTAGATTTCCGGTTCAAACTCAGATTATACTAATATCGGGAGACGTGTGGTGTAGTGGTATGAGGTGCCGCGGCGCCATGACTATTCGAAAAGAGGTTCGATTCGTCCCTTGGGCCAAAAAGGCTTTCTACCCTCTGGCTCTGGTAAATTGGTACCAGGGTAGGGGGAATAGAAACATTAATTTCTTGATCGGCCGGCCCCTGCAATTGTAAAGGTTTGCAGCATACAGTTACCTATTCGACTACTAAGTAGAATGCGTTCGGCGTATGCATTTAGGTTTTAAAGATACCGGTTCCTTTGTTTTTTATACACTGGTATCGTTGTTGAAAGGGGCTTTAATGTAATATTTTTGCTACACTTATCAAAAGATCTCCATTCCATGTCTCTAGATGGTGTGTAGTACTTCTAGGACATTTTCAATTGTTCATTAACGAGCATTTTCAATGTTCATGACAATACAATGGTGTGAAACAAATAACAATAAAAGACGATGTTTCAAATGGCTCACGAATTTCCATGTCCTTATTCGCCTAAACAATGTGTATACAAGATTTTATAAAGAACCAATTTTCACAAGTTACCCTATAATCGAAAGAAAAATTTGACCGTACCATTCACAAAACAGCGACAGGTACTGACTGTCCCTCTTTGACGCTTTCTCCTTCTCCAAAATATTGGCGGTCGATTCCATTCAGACTTGGGAACCACGTGACTTACGTAGCCAGTCTTTCTCTAGAAAAAACTTTCACGTGTGATACGACGCGGTAGCTATGATTCAAGTTGTTAGGAGAAATCGCATCTTACTTAGAGAACGAATTGAACTGAGCTGCTTACTTGTGGTTCCGAGTCCTCTTCATTTTTATCCCATTTCAATATGACTGCACCGTTTTTGTCGTAGATTGTGATCTTTGCTGGGCCCATCCTCTGCAATTTGCGTTCCATAGTTTTATGACCTTTATGTTCAAAGCTGTAAGATCCATGCATCTTGGGTTATAGAAGCCCAAGTTTGTGTTGCTTACCCTGTGCTTGATAGTGTCGTTACGTGAGCACGTCCTTTGATTTGTTGAAAGTATACTGCAGTCTCTTTCAGGACTTCCTAAAATCAATTTGATTAGAAGGGGAATCTACGCCTGACTGCATGCTGTAAATACAACTTTTTATGCTCTAAATTTTTTTTACTATGTTAGCTCCACTTACATTTCTTACCTGTTAATGTTTCCAAAATAATGTCACATTCCCCGTTTTCGAACATGCAGTCGTTCCTCAAAATGATAGAGTCGGCTGTAAGTGATCTATTGTGCAGCTTTCAAGTCTTGCATAAAATAAATTAATTTAAAGCTGTAAACAAGTTTCATTCCACGTTACTATTTTCGTAACATTTAACAAGTGTTTATCATATCATGGTGACGAGTGCATAGTGTTTGAGGCGCCGCTATGACCAGATCGGACTTAGGTTTGATCCAGCCCCTGGGCCAACCAAGCCCTCTTCACTCCAGGGCCAGTAAGTTGGTACCAGAGTGTTTGGCAGGATAAAAGAGCACTGACTTGTTAATTGGCTGGCCCCCGCAAGTCAATGTAATAGGCCAGCACGTATTCAATAGCCTCGACTATGAAGCAGTGTGGTTCGGTGCATACGGGCACAGGTTATTGAAGATGTCGCCTTTATCCTTTATTTGATCATTATGCCCACTGGAAATTTTCTTCTAAATTATCATTATGCGTACTGGAATTTTTCATTCAAAACAAAATTGGAAAGTGAGGCCGCTGAAATATAAGGTAAAAGAAGAAAACCATATCATTGTGACTACCAACAGAATCATCCCATTGGCATAGTTTAATCGTGCGAAAATAATGGAGTAATTAGCAGAGAATAGTTTTATTTGGACTTTTCGTTTTCAGCGAGCAATATTCAAAAATAACAATGATTTGTGTGTTTTGTTCATATAATATCGCCGGACGTCAAAGGCGAAGCTGAAGGCCTTTTGAATTGAGGTATTGGCAGCTTTTTATCTATAAACTGCAATGACCAAAGCGAAGTTGATGATAAGATTTTCAAATTTTCGGCTAACATTTGTGGATCAATTCATATTTATCCTTTTATCAAAAAGCATTAGAACTTACCCTGGATGTAGACAATAAGGCCCATCAATACCACTGATCGTATATCAAGAGTCTTCATTTTCGAATCAGGTCTTAAGCGAAGAAATTAAAAAGAGTACTTGATAAGTGATGACTAGATAAAATTGCATCGAGAAAAACATGAAGAAAGGCACAAAGCCCGAGACGCATAGGTAGAATGATGAGTGTTGATTCATTGGAACAATTGGAAACATTCACGCAATAACAAGTCGATCAATCTAAATCCTGCAAGAAATGAACCGCTGATTCCTTTGAACACTTCTTGACGTAGTTGAGTGAAATAAAGCACTTAAAAAATTTTAACTTTGATTTGACTGATTATCCACAAGCGATCATGGAGGTTCATAGATTGGAAAAGTCTAAGTAAAAGTTATAATAAGACCTTTGTGAACTTAAGTCATGTTGAGCTGTCGCTATTTCTGTTCCTCAAGGCATTATAGAATTTTTGGGGAAGGGGAGGGAAAGGGCAGCCTTGGAAATTTTTGCTAGGTTTTTTGTAATGCTTCAAAAATTTCTAGCAAGCTAACCTTTGATTCAAATGTTTTGGCTTCAGGAAGGCGGGGCTTTGTGATCTAATTGGGCACTTGCATCTCTCTCGCGCGAGTGCTCTATGATCATTAGCTAGCATTAATCAAGTCACGAAGCCACGCCTTCCCGTTGAATAAGATGGTATATAGAGTCGAATCAGCCACAGTTTTTTTTGCGAAATTGATTTGATCTATATATTAGGTCGTTCCGAAAGTAATGTCGCTTTTTTCGAATGAACGCCACTATTTGTGGAATCAACATTTTTGAGAGATCTTAGAAGCATTCGACGCATCATTTCATCTTCTTTCTAATGGTTCTAATTTCATTGCAGAATGTTCAATGAACTCTCGAAAAATTACCAAAATCTGCAACTCATGCTTTTTGCCATGGTCAAGTTCGGCTATTTTTCTAAATTTTTGTACCCAATCTCCGAAAAAGTACAAAGGACAGATAGGTAGAGCAAACACTATAGAACACAGAGTAACATTTTCTTTTCCTCAGCTTGCTTCTCAGACTTTCTACAATCAATTTCTCAATGCCATCAAAATCCATATTTGGTCAAGTCAAACCTCGCAGAACAGCAACCGGCAAGCGACTCGGGTGTCATTCGATGCACCTTTTTCTCCTCTTTCTAGCGGTTGTTTTTTGCTTCCGATTCATCAAGTTTTCCGGAATAAAATCTCATAATTCAACTTTTCCAAGGGACCCCAAGGTGTACCCGAAATTTTCGAAAGTTGCTAAACCGAAGCGGCGAATGCTCGTTTGGTTTGCAAAATTGTTGCCAAACGATAATCCATCTTTGTAAGTTTCAAAATCCGAAGACTTGTTGGCGTTTGATGCACTTATGTCTGAGACGAGCCTGCTAAAATTCGGTGGTTCCATCAAAAAATCTGTACAAAAATTATGACGAGCTCTGGAAAGTAGAAAAAAGTTGTGCTGTTTCCTGTAGGGTTTGCTCCATCCATCCTTTACTTGGACTCCTTCTGAGGTTTGTTATACACTTTTAGAAAAATTGTGAAAATTGGCCATCTCAAAAAGCATAGGTCGCAGATTTTGACTCTTTTCTGGAAGCTCATTGAGTTTATTGCAACAACTTCATGACCTTTAGAAAGAGAATGAAATTCTGCATCAAATGCTACCAGATCTTTTACGCATCTTTGTTCCACGAGATGTGGCATACGTTTGAAAAAAGCGACATTACTTTCGGAACGACCTAATATAAAACTATTGCATGTATGTCTTGAATAATGAATTTCAATTTGTTCCTAGATATAATATCGAGTTGATAACAAAAAGCTCTGCTCTAGATAATTTTCAAAAACCTCGCAACATTTTCAGGATAGAGGGGCCTTGGCTTTATGGGGACTTTCAAGAAGGGAAGCGTCGTGAATGTGAAAAGAAATGAAACAGTTTTGGTCTAATAAGTTGCGATTTTAAGGAACATAACTGTGGGCGAGTAGTTTTGTGCCAAGTGACAAACAGTGATCGTTCTATGAGTTCATGGATTATCTAAGTTATCCATAATTAAAGAACACATGTGTTGGTTTATACCACAGCGATCTTCCTGCTTTCCACAGCAAAACACTTTTTTTTGATATTTGATTCCAGCAATCTCCAGATGTCTTTCAATAACATCGCTCATTTGAAATCTCGTGAGGATATTCCTTTTTACATGGTGTGAAATAAGTTTTGACCAAGCGCACCGGGTAGATATCGTCTTCTGCTCACGATAAAAGCTGTTGCCATACATGCTTTTAGAACTTGAAACATACTTTTGAACTAGAAAATGGTTTCATCATATTTTTTTTTAATGCAATCTTCCTGCACTATAACAACTTTCTACCACAATTCTTTCGAGGAAAGTGATCATTGCTTGTTGCTGCTCACAAGGAAACGGGATCGGTATTCGGAAGCATGGGCACGCTCTCTTGGACGAGTCAATGTGCTGGACACAGTGTTCAAAGGCACCGAAATCAGACCAGGAGATTGGTTCTACGCTTCGGTTCGGTGAGTCTAAATGTTAAAAATTTTGCAAAATAGCAGAAAAATAATGTTTTTTCCTTCAGACTGTTTCCCGAGTTGTTCAGAGGAGTTGAGCCCACATACATGGTCAAGAAAATTGTTGATCTTTCGGCCCCTTTGGCATTCACCGAATGCTTTATGAACGAGATCAAGGTATGACTTCGATGCGTTCGGTCATTTCGAAGGAATATTGTTTGATGAACAATATTTTAACCGGAGAAATAGTGGTGTCAATTTTCACGAATCTTGGGAAAGCTTTAAGAATTACTACATGCTGTATCAGAGCGAACAGTGGGGGGAGGGGAGGGGGAGAGGCTGGAGGAGGGAAGCGTAGTAGATTGCGAAGTTTTTGGAAATACTTACGAAAAATATGTTCAAGTGTGTACACTAATAATTTACTTTTCCAAAAAATTTTCCAATCCAATAGCCTTGCAAAAAAAAAATTTTTTTTTTTGGAACTTGGCTGCCGCTAGGTCCTTTCTTCAGAATATCAGGGTTATGGCCGGCAAAAATTTTGGGAAGCGTCTGCTAAAGATTTTCGGAGTGCGTGATTAATGTCACGCACCTTTACCTGAAAAATTTTTTGCCCCTTTATTCGAACGGAAATCCTGGGACAGCTATTAGCTGATATCGTTATATGATTATTCTGCTCATACTAACCCTTGTTGTCATTCTGGTGTATCTATCATGGGTGCTTGAAAGAAGTTTTGAAAGTTGTTTTCGCTTTCGATCCTGCTTTGTACTTGGCATCTGTCCAAACCCGATCAAAGCGCGAAAACACTTCTTTTTACACAAGCATTCCTTAGTACAAACATCTGTATGCGAGTAGTGAATTCCGACTCGATTCTATCCAAAGTTTTTATTCGTTGGAAAAATTGCTCTACTTTTTATGATATTGTCCAGATCAGAGCACATAACTGATCGAGCTATCAAAATCATAATCATTTTATCTAAACATTTGATAAGAATTAATCTCTCAAACCGCCAAAAAATCTACTCCTTAATTTGTTTGCCTAAAAGTGTAAATTGCGTTCGGACGCGATGAATTTACAGATCGAATTCGATTGCGACGGTCAGGCTGTAGGTAACGAGGGTGGCACAAGGATTATCTATGAAGATCGTCAAGTCGGGAACGTAACGATGTCCCCAGAGGATTATCACAGGCTACACTTGATGCGGTCGGTTGTCCGATAGTTTTTGTCTGTTTTTCACACCTTCTTTCTTATTTTGAGAACTAATGACAAACTTGCCAGAATGGTATGTCTCCTACAATTCAACCATGACACTCCATACAACAAACCTTGGACGTTACTAAGGTTCATGCGCGAATTGGCAGCAGAAGAGGAATTTCCTGTATGTTGATAAGTTCATTATCAACTATATAATTTTGGGTTATAGGCAGGGCCCGGCACGAGGTCGGCAAATGACAAGCTGGAAGTCGTTTTGGGGCCAAAAAGCAAAGGGGAAATCGTTTTTGCGGGGTCCGGGGCAGAGCCCGGGAAAAAAATTGGTAGTTCATGCTCGCTACTTATCTTGACATGTTATGTGCCTCAACAGGCGAACACTGGAGTTCGCGCGCGTCAAACCGCGCCGTCGCTAATTGCCGCACGCGCGACGTCGCCCAAGCGATGCTATTTGAAACTGCATACATGACTAGTTCTCAATGTATGTGTAACGATATGGCACCAAATTTTGTATGCGAACGGAGAGAGGCTAGTGGAAACATAGTATGAAAAGTTATGAAAAACTTATGTGAACGGAACGAGTAATTAGCATTTTTTCCGAGAATTTCGCAAAACTGGTAAATGAAGATGTGAATTCAAACGGCTCGTTTGGAATGCGCAGATGAACGATATGGTATGAAACGTGGTAAGTAATGCACACGGGCTTGCAGGGCTTAACTGAGGAGTTTCATTGAAAAATTATGTGACTGAAGGTTGTGGCAAACTTTTTTCTGAAAATTTTGCGCTACCAAAGAAATGGAAAAATGTCTCGTTTGCAACGCAGAGGTAACGAAATCGCGCGGGTTTCGGTGTGTATATGCGCAATAGGACTAAGTAAGAAAGTATGAAATATTATGAAAAACTTATGTGAATGAAGAGCGTGCTTAAGTAATTTCCAAATTAGGTCGGCATTTGCCGACCTAATTCCCACCTGAGGTCGGCAAAACTCTCAATTCACATAATTTTTTCAAAATTTTTACATAAATCTGTTGTACACCTAAAGTTTACTGCATGGTGAAATTTTAGTTCCGAAACTCCTCCTCTTGTCCTTGTTAGAGCCCAAAATCGCATCAGCAGCCTAGCTTTCTAAGATAGAAAGCGCGCCCCAGTCAATCGATACGCGTGGGAACGGCGTCTCTCATTCCTATGACTGCGTTTCTTTGATATTTTCTCATTCCTTACTCATTTTTCTTGCTTATTTTTCTTCCTGTTCTCTATTTTGACACAGCTGAGGAGTAATTTGAGGAATTTGAGCAATTTGGGCGCTTTTGAGCGCTTTTAGGCGAAGTGTGGCCGGTAATCTCGTCGCACAAGCACGAAACGTCATTTTTGGGCTCAAGGGGGTATTCGTAAATTTATTGGGATCAAAGGGGAATTCGTTTTGGAAAACCCCGTTTGCCCACCTCGTGCCGGGCCCTGGTTATAGGTCATGTCTAGGCAAATAGCTGGGTTTCTGGGGTTTTTATATGGATACTAGTTGGGAGGTTTTCAGCTAAATATTGCCGAAATGGTACGATTATTGCAAGCAAACTGGACTTTAAACTCCAGCCCAGATCGTACACCAATCAGGATCCTCAATTACGGTGAAGGGTACGGTCTGGGCCGAATGTTTACACTTTTCGGCTTCGGCCACCATTGAATTATGTAAGCTGCCACTCAGCACTGGTTCAATAAAAACCTCTCATATCCTCATTTGAGGAACTCAAGTGGCCATATTTGCCTGAACAGTGCCTGGACACCTTTACTTTCTGTTTGCAGGTGTTGTCTCCCGAGTGCAGTGTCAGTGACAAAGAACGACAGAGAAATCGTGCCCAAGCCGCGCATCAGGGATTGATTGGTCAAAATTCGAGAGGATTCATATCTGGTAGTTTTTCTTTCTCGTCTAGCTCTTGCATTCACAGGAAGAGCTTTGTCGTAGGGCACGATATTGAAGAGCGGGATAGAAACGAATTTCCTGACCATGCCAACAGAATTGGGAATTCATCGGATTCACCTCGTAGTGGAAATCGCAGTCCACTTCTGGTAAATTTAGAGCGTTTCATGTTCGGCAGTGAAGCCATGGACTCTATGTTAGGAAGAAGCAGTGGATATAATCGAGAACCTACTCGATTCAAAAGCCATTTGCGATTCTATCGAACGAAGAAGTCCATGGCTGTTGGGAAGAATGCACCATTTTATTGCGTCGTCAAGAAACGGAGAAGGGTCAAGTCATCGGAGTACTCCGTATTACGAAGTGAGTCCGAAGAAGCTGCATCCTCTAGGGTGTTTTTCTCAGAAGGCAATATTCACATTTGATGTTTGGCATAACTGATTGTGAAGTTTGAAACATACCGCATTTTCCGAGATCTAATATATCAAGATTAGAAGAATCGTTTCCATTTGTCGTGGCACGAAAAAAAACCAAGCCGTATTGCAGTTATAGGGCATTGTGATGGCGTGATGATGGCGCGACCGCGCGCGGCACGCACTTGTGGCAACCGCAATTCCTTGGTATTATGTCTCGTTAGATGGTTTCTCTGTTTAAGTATGATAGTTTTCAGACACTAGAAGGAACTGAGCTGAACGTTGAGGTGATGCCTTTTTGTCTGAAGGCTTTATGCTCCTGTGAGCGCAAAGACCGCCGTCAAATCCCTCATCACTAATTTATAACCGACCTATAGTTAGCTTGCCTTAAAATCGCAGTGTCGATCACATGTTGGTGATTTTCACTACTTCCTCATAAACAATTTCTGAAGGGAAAAAAAACTGTAGCTCTTCTCAGAGACTAGATTCACAAGCGCAGAGGTATAGGTCATTTTAATCGTGACGGCGGATTTGACTGCGGTCTTTGCGCCAACAAAAGCATGAAATACTCAAAAAGGAATTACTTCGACGCTCAGCTCAGTCACTTCTAGTGTCCAAATACTATCATACGTAAGCAGAAAACTTAGAGTAGAGAAGAAAACCAAGAAAATGCGATTGCCGAAAGTGCGTGCGTGTCGCGCGCGGTTGCATTGTCACAATTTTTCGGATGCTTAATACACGCGCTTAAACTTCTAAAAACCGTTGAAATCTCGTTTCCAGGGAAACATTGAAAGAAGATATCTATATATCTATACTGGGAACATGATGCTTTATTCATTGCTCAAACTGCTTGCGTCAACAATATTCAGTTTTTCTGGTGATATCACTTATCCTTTTGTCTGCCTTAAATAGCTGGGCTAAAACCAGGGAACTTAGTTCAAATCCGAACACGAACTCACACTCTATCTTCCTGCATTACAATTTACAGCCGTCATAAAACAAAATTCATAGAGCCTAAAATACAGCTTTATTTTTATTTTTTCAGGGTACAGAATATTATGAAACAATTAAGTATAATAAGAGAATTTTCATTATCCTATTATATTTTACGAGAATGACTGTCAACTTTGTAGGTTTTCGCAAAGATTTACGCTAAAATAAATGAATGGAATAGTGGCAGAGCACAACTGGCAAATCTTTAGTCTTTCTGCAAAATATCTATGCCATTTGCTCAAGGTGCATATGTCGTCAGCAAACAGCCGGAAGAGCAGTTGTACCCTTATGCCTCTCTAATCACAAGTAACAAGCCTCCTGGATGATGTTTGTTCAATCTGCTATTTTTGCGTTCGTGTTTCCATTGACTGCGACCCTCAATCATACTTGCCGTGTCTACCGGGACGTGCAAACATGAGGTACCATCCTCTGTGATCATTTGCAGAGATATTCAAGGTTTCAGACTGTTTTCGACTTCCTTTTTGAAGTAGCAGAGCATTTTGCCATTAAGATCTACAATATATCAGTAAACCCAGTTTTTGTTGGGGTAGGGTAACAGAAGATTCCGGGAATTTTTCAAACTGGACGAAATCCAAACAAGCTTGTAACCCTAATTGGGAAAAGGTATCGCGACTTAATATTTTTATAAAGCTTATTCAAATTTTCAAAGGCTTCAAAAATTAATTCAATTATTATTTACTAGTAACAAATTATCTTTACAATTTTCCATTTTTAAGGGGGGGGGGGGGAGGTGGGATTTGTCCACCACTGCAAAACACCCACGTTTGGAGTAATTTGAAGACTTCCCGATGTTGTTCCAGTTTGAAAGTTTTTGTATCAAAATAAAATGTCATGAAATTTTCTGCATACTTTACGCGTACAAGTGTCATCTCAACCAACCCATTGAATAAATATGCGAATATTTAAAAAGCGAAAGCTACTTTGGAGAGTCGAAAAATTATACTAATGCTTGCTTTCATCAATAGTGTTCCTAATTTTTTTAAGCTATCTTGCTTCTTTTTTTAAACATTCTGACATCAGGAGAATGATTGGATTATCAGCTGAAACTAAATCTGGAGGTTATGTACTCTCTGCTACGCCGACAACACTTAAAGGCAGTAGGTCGGCAGAATGAGACCCGTGGCAAAACAAGGTCACAGGGTAAGAGCCCCCATAATGGAACCTATGGGCCAAAGTTCGACCTTTCTCTGCCACTTCTTACCCCGGAAATTTCAAAGCGAAAGCAGCGCCCATACAGTGCTGGACATAATTATAGGGACACTTTAGAAACCGTCGTAATTTTCGTTCTTGTCAGTGAATTTGAAACTTTGCTATATGGTGCGCATGTAAGCCTACCATAACTCCTCAGAACGTTCCAGTTCCGTTGATTCCGAACGGAGAAAAATGGAAAAATTCGAAAAAGCCTGTTTTGCAAGCTGGACATAATTATAGGGACACCTGGCCTTTTTAAACATTATCGCATTCCTTGACTCCCAAATTCTTTTGTAGAGTTACATCCCAGAATATGAAACTTTTGCAGCACCTGTCATGCGACTCAAGGAAAGATGATCCTTGCATTTTTCGTTTCCAAAGGCATCAGAAGTCAAACTGCGTCAACAAACAGCTGGTTTGAGGAGTTTTCAAGCCCGCGTTCATTTCAAATGACAGTCCTGGAATACACTTACCCTTTTTGATAGATAAGGTGAGGAGCGCTTTCGTAAACTCCGCGTAATCGCTGATTTTGACGGACAGACTCCAACCTCAACATAGGGTTGTCGCGCTTTTAAACCATGAAACTCGATTTTCAAGTTACAGAAAACGCTGCAATGTAGCCGCAACAATGCACGTACAACAATAAACTTGTGTGCCTAGTCAGGAAAAAATTTCGGGGTTGCACATTCTGGTTCAGCCGCAGTTGTCATCCGTTGAAAGTTGAGTGGAGCACCCTGCACAATCATATCCAACTCAAATCAAGAAATCGAACAGGAGAGCGCTTGAAACTTCAAAATCTTAACTAATCTCACCTACCGCGTATAATGCGACATGAAACAGAGAAGGATATAGTGAGATTTGTGATTGTGTTAAATCTACTGCTCGCAGAGAAATCTCGTGGAAAGTATTTCAAATCTAAATGCCAACTGCAGCACTAGAAAAAATCTGGGGCGGTATGTAACAATCGCCCGTCCGGGTAAGTTACCCGGACAGATAGTTTCCGCTTCATAGCTCAGTGCTGTGGGAATCTGTGTTCTTCCTTGTTTGTTCATCTATTAGAGGCTCTACTATCCTAATATTGTAGCACAATGACTAGCAGCACTTTGCTGTATAAGCGGAAATAATTCGTTATTTGTATGATCCAGAACAGGATCTCCCACTGATCACGCTCTTTTTTAAAGTTATTTATATCCGCAAAAACTCAAGGAAAACGTTACGGAGTATTGCTGCCCATTTATTACGACAGTGTTACGCATGTTTGTGAAAGAAATAAGTGAAAAATCAAGTTGACAAAATCTTCGCTGAACCTGTGCTCGCAGATTGGGCTTTATCGAAAAACTCAAAACTTGCACATTTCGTCTGTGCTACTAAAAACATGCATAGCACTGTCGTAATTGATCGACAGCAAAACTCTGTGACGTCTTCATTGAGTTTTTGTGGATATAAATAACTTTGAAAATGAGCGTGATCAGTAGGAGATCCCGTTCGGGATCATACAAATAACGAATTATTTCAGCTTATACAAAGTGCTGCTAGCCATTGTGCTACAATATTAGGGTAGTAGAGCCTCCAATAGATGAACAAGCAAGGAAGAACACAGATTCCCAGAGCACCGACTATGAAGCGGAAACTATCTGTCCGGGTAACTTACCCGGACGGGCGATTGTTACATACCACCCCTGAAAGTTGTTGCAAAAGCTGCGTCTCCATGTAGACAATATAATAAATCGAGTCCATCATTTCACGAACATTGGAAAGTGAGTTTTGTGGTTTAAAAGCGCGACAACCCTATGTTGAGGTTGAAGTCTGTCCGTCAAAATCAGCGATTACGCGGAGTTTACGAAAGCGCTCTTCACCTTATCTATCAAAAAGGCTAAGTGTATTCCAGGACTGTCATTTGAAATGAACGCGGGCTTGAAAACTCCTCAAACCAGCTGTTTGTTGACGCAGTTTGACTTCTGATGCCTTTGGAAACGAAAAATGCAAGGATCATCTTTCCTTGAGTAGCATGACAGGTCTTAGGTGCTGCAAAAGTTTCATATTCTGGGATGTAACTCTACAAAAAAATTTGGGAGTCAAGGAATTTTTCCAAAAATTTTTAAAAAAAGGCTTAAAAAGGCCAGGTGTCCTTATAATTATGTCCAGCTTGCAAAACAGGCTTTTTCGAATTTTTCCATTTTTCTCCGTTCGGAATCAACGGGATTGGAAGCCGTTCTGAGGAGTTATGGTAGGCTTACATGCGCACCATACAGCAAAGTTTCAGACAGATTCACTGGCAAGAACGAAAATTACGACGATTTCTAGAGTGTCCCTATAATTATGTCCAGCACTGTATGCTCTCCTCTCCGAACCCGCCCACCCCATGGCGAGTGAACGCCCGTCATGGCGAAGACACAGAGTCGTTGCGGGACCTCATGCTTATAGCATTGCGGCTGGCGCTCTGACAGCGGAAGTCACTCGTCCATGAGGTGGGCGGGTTCGGAGAGGACAGGAGATGAGCGCTGCTTTTGCTTTGAAAGGGGGTTAGAAGTGGCAGAGAAAGGTCGAACTTTGGCCCATAGGTTCCATTATGGGGCTCCAACCCTGTGACCTTGTTTTGCCACGGGTCTCATTCTGCCGACCCACTGCCTTTTAAGGCAGCGTTCAGGCAAATCTGGACCTATGGGGATTTTACGTGGAAAGTAGTTTTGGGATCCTAACTAAGCCAGTGCCCATCGGCAGCTCAGGCTCTAATGGCTGAGATATACCCCTCGAAACTGGACCCCAGGATCGTACTTCGCATGGATTCATGGCGCAACCCATCAGTTTCGCACGAACCCACGCGTTCCGCCATGAATCCGTGCGAAATACGATCCTGATACGATCCTGAAGTCCAGTTTCGAGGGGAATATCTCAGCCGTTAGAGCACTACCTGAGCTGCCGGTTGGGCAGTTGCTTAGTTAGGGCCCCAAAACTACTATCCACGTAAGATTCCCATAAAAACAGACTTGCCTGGATGCTGCCTTTAAGCGAATGAAATATCCATCTATTAAATAAACAACACTTTCGCGCAATTTTAGGCGCAGAATGCACACTCTCAAGTTTTGCGTTCAGTTATCGTCTACGCTCAAGTGTTGTAAACACCATGCCGCTACCATAAGCTCATAATTAGTGAGTAAGCGTAGCGCAGTGGAAGCGTGCTGGGCCCATAACCCAGAGGTCGGTGGATCCAACCACTCGCTGCTACCAGTAAGCGTAGCGCCGTGGAAGCGTGTGATCCACCAGCAACAAATATAAGAGCGAGTATCAGGTTTATCGGTACATCACATAGAGGGTACATCAGGAATAGTAACATGATAGATCACAATGGTAATCCATGGCGTAGGTCGGTGGAGGACACAGATGGAGGTCCGCATCAGCGGGAGACGGTGAGCACGGTCGGGTCCGGCCGACCAGTGGCCTGCCAGGTGGGAAGACTCCTTGTGGTGGTGGACTAGTCGGCTTGTGATTGTGGTGGTAGATTATATACCATAGCGTGGAATGCATATCATCCTCATATCTGTAACAGTTTATCTCATTCTCATAACATACTTTGTCTTTATCTAAGCTTTATATCTTGTTCTCATGACATAGCTTCTCGCTTGCACATCTTCATGCGCCTACGCTTACAAGTGTGATTAGACAGATTTCACGTGATTCAAACTGAAATCAAGCAATCGTGAATTTTTCAGTCTGACAACAGCTCCCGTACACCGAACGATGAGAGGAATGGGCGCGGGTTTCACGATTACTGATATTGTCAACAGCTGATTCCATACTCTTATTCTCATTCCCTAAATCATACATTTAGATTGAAGTCTGTTTTTTCCATTTATTTATATTTTTCGTCATCTTTCGTATTATTTGGTGAACATTAATTTTTATGCTGTCCTTTCCTTTTCATTTGTTGCCTTGAAGAATATCCATTTGGATAAAATGTCGTGGAGCTTATAGTAGTGCCGTCATTTACTTAATATGCATTTGCACAGCAAGCGCGCTACTTCACGACTTGTAAGATTGGATTTTTTTTTGAGCTTCTGGGATTTCTCAATGTTTTCTTTTCTCTCTCGTTCATTCGGATATGTATTTACTTAGTAGTACATATTTTCACAATTTGGTCTTCTAGAAAAGGTTTTACTGACGAGTTACTTGTAAGACCGGTTGCCGCGCAGAGTGTTCAGGCTCACATATTACAAAGTTACACATGACTCGCGCATAGCTCTTACATTAGCAGGTTGTAAAGTGTCAGGTAAAATTTTCATCTGATAATCATGCCCACTAAACCGGGTAGCGCGAACTTTCATGATTATCGCAGACTGGAAAATACTGTCTAGCAAGGTTCAATGTATAAGCAGATCTTTAATTCTAGGTCATTTATCTTCCCACCTACGATCTCGTTATCTAAGGAGCTGTGCTCAAATTTCCTATTCATGTCAATATTTTATTTTTTTTGCACCCGACAAGCTTGTGGACGGTATCGTTCGACCAGTTGCCAATCACCGTTTGAAAAGGCAGAGATATTAAGCCGATTAGCCATTCTCAAAAGAGAAGCGCATAATTGGGAAATCACCTCTGTTTGTCATGCTCTACCTGTAATCCCTAATGCCACATTTATGAGCACATGATTTCAAAAATGGAGACGCATTTCATAAACGCCTGCAGGGTCAAATCTTCCTAAGGATTTGTTACATATATTGTACTTTGTAAATACTGATCGTTAGCACCACGATCGAGCAATCAGCCATCACTTTAAAGGATGAACATACAAATCGAAACTCCGAGTCCAGATGCTGGCGTATAGTGTATAGTTTGAACGGCTGTGCATCGAGCGAGTCGTTACTACAATCTGTCCCAATCATATGAGCCTGAGCGTTGACGTCAACTAGCGCGCATGCGGCGCTAGGAGTGGCTACACGTCAGGAGGTACGCCGCGCGCGGCGACCGCTCTTCCGCGCACGCCGCGTCCAAATCTTGGTACCCGCAAAAGTCCCCGCTGTTAGAGATTCCCGGCAGCAAAAACAGGGGGTGGGGATAGAGGCAGACACATGACTCGAGACCATAAGTAACTTTGCACCAGGTGCGCTGCTGTTGTATTGGCTGAAGTATGTTGTCGCGTCGCTTCGCGAAAAATTCGCGCCAATCGTACCTCCTGACCGTCCCCCGCTAGGGGTCCATGCTGCATACGCGTGCTGACGGAGAGAGCGAAGAGAGAGAGAGCAGGCAAACAGACCGTAGGCGTGACGCAAAACTTTAGCGGCGCGGACTGGACTCCCGCCAGCCAATTTTGGCGTTCGGGATTGGGACAGACTGTGACAGTAAAACACTAATCCCACAATAACTCATTGAAAAAGCAGTCCTATTCGTTTCTACTGTCAACTAATCATGGGTCATGATTGGCTTGTAGATAATGAGCCCGAAAGGGGCCAGTTTTTCAGCTTCAGCTTTAGGGAATTGTTGGGATTCTTGTTACTATGAAAAGGAGAAGGTTCTCGCCATGCGTTGTTATTCCGCAAATGAGTTTCAGGCTCAGATGGACAGAGCTGTTTGTGACGCTTCTGCCCTCCGAAAAAGTTCCTTCGGTTCGATGGCACATTGCAGAGAGATTTGAAATTTAATCAGGAGTTTCATTACATCACGTCTCGCAACCTCATAATTGTTGACGGTACTCTCAAGAAGCTGTTCAGAGGAGACCAGATCGACTGCTCCTTCATCTGTTAAATGGCCTGTCTTCGCCAATGTGCAGACTACATCACAGCGACCTTCTTTCGCTTGCGTCATCCGCTCTTTTTACTGAATGGTGGTGGCGTAACGTGATCCACGTGCAAAAGTTTCAGCTGATTTCTCAGCTGATGAATTTGTCGGACACGCCCATGCGTCCCGTTGGTGTTTCCCGCGTAAATGTCGTTTCGTAAAGGGCCAAGCAGGCTTCACGCGATCTGGCAAGATTCCAGCTATCCATAATCACTGTAAGCACATTTTAAATGTACGGAAGATAGGGCAATTTATCAATGCACGTGAGTTATGCACACTATGCATGTGCAATTTGCTAGTGTTCGATCTGAACACTTCTGGCGAATTGCCAAATCGCACCGCGACTAAAATCGCGTGAAGTATGCCCGGCCCTCAAGGGATGATCCATGCTATGTCCCATCGACTCGACTCGCAAAATGGCCGATCCAGATGTTTGGTTTCCGTCACGTGTGTGTTCTAATCGGAACAGGCCTCGATTACTCAACTATTTTTAAAGAAGGTTTGTGCTTGAGGAAAAAAAAACGTAGTGAAGCACGAACCTAGAAATCGAATACAGTCTGACGCAATCGGGATCAGGCCGAACCGTCGGCTCAGTTTGCGCGCTCGCAGCGAGAGAGTTTTGCATTGCATAGCACTGACGGAAAGAGGAAAGAAGTTGAGGAAGGAGCAGATAAGCTAACCGCAGACGTGACGCAAAACCCTGGCGACGGACGCGATGCCAATTTTGACTTGATTCGGACTGGGACAGACTGTATGTATATGGCTGGGTCATAGAGACGAATTCTCACCTTGGAAATCCTAAAACATTCCGCGTGCTTGTTACTAAGTACTTTCACACAATTTTAACCCTTGCCTTGCTTTACATGAGCGCCTAGCTCGTTTCGATCGCACCCACGAAATAAAGAATATTTATGACTGGATAACGCAAACAAAATGAAGTCCCTAAGTAAAAGATTGAGCGATTACATCAACTATAAGACGGTCTCAATACTGAATGAGCGGCTGACAAGCCTTTCTGTTTTAATTTGGATAGGGAAAGATGGAACAGGGATTTGAAAGTGAAATCAACGAGATGCGCTAAAGGATCTGTACATGAGGGAGATACAACTATAATCAGCTCGACGTTTAAAGACGTTCTGACAACTCGGCAACGATTATAATAACACGCTTATTCCTGGGGAAGGAATATATAGAAGTCTACATATACTTTTGCAATATTTGCGCCGCAGAATCGATAAATCTTGTAAAGGGACTCGAAAACGTGGCGACTATTCTGACAAAAGAAAAAAAGAACAACAAAACGAGATTTACAAAACAATACAAGGGAACGAATGTGTCTTACCGGTAACGTGGACAGCTCTAAAAGAAGCTCTAAAACTCTTGCTCCTGATCACTGGGTAGGCTCCATAATTGAAAGAGGAAGAATACAAATAAGGCGAATGTAACCAACGAGAATGCACCGATAGCAATGAGACGGTAGGTTACAAAGTCGAAACGGCGATGAGATGTAGGCGCATCACCCGCACCAGACAACATTTTGCGGTACAGTGCCCTCTCTTCTGCACGACGTCGCTTACGGATTCCTCCAAGTCTTTCTATCTCGCACTGGACCACCTGCAGTATCTAGGAATCCACTTAGATCTTGAATCAATGATAAAAACATAAAAGCACAGACATCACTAGATACATAATAAACAATCCAACACATCCGCAGAAGATATAAGATCTAATGGAAGAAAAAATACTGGGAAAAAATGCGACTATTAAGTACTGCTGCAAAAACGTCAAGCAGCGATCAATTCAGTACTGTCTGCTATGAGGATATATCAAAGATACAGATCGCTGATGCAACATTGGTTGACACTGAATATAACTAACCGCGTCGTGGGGATCAATCTCGAGAGCACGCTTCAGACAGTCCATTGCTTCCTCAGTATCATTACGCACTGAAAGAGCCGCAGCCCTTCGAAATAAAGCTTTCGTATTTGCCTCATGCAGACGTAGAGATTCGTCTGTGCATTTTAACACCTCATTCCAATCCTCAAGCTAAAATATAGCATGATCTTGGCTAGACCGAAGATTGCTAACGATGCCATTGAGGTTGAACTGACCTTGGCATAGCAGACGGCGAGATTGGAGTGTAGAGCCGAAAACAGCTTGCAAAGTGCTTCGCTGTTCTTCGGAACATCAATTATGGTAGAAGCTCTGTAATTATGCATAGGCTCACTTATTTCGTCTATTTGACACAAAACAGCTACAAAAGAGCAACTCTCTAACCGCTCAGGCCTTGAAAATGAAATCTTCAAGATTTCATACCGGTCATAACTGCGTTGCCCTACGATTCGCGTCATAGCCACTCATGATTTAAAAAGGCATAATAACAAACCTCTTATAGACAAAAATGGCCTTATCATACTCCCTTCGATTAAAGTAAAAGTTGCCTCGATCTTTGAGCATAAGAACAAAATCTGACAACTCCTCCTCTGTCATTGTCGTGTATTTGGGAGATTCACCAATTTCAAGGAGCTCGATCTAGAGCAAATATTGATAGCGAGAGATAAGTGATATAAAATAAACTCACCCTGTACTCTTGGTCCTGATTAGGAGGGATAATGTCATCTAGACCGCATTCGCCATAAGCCAGGTAAGATTTCACTCGAATTTCGGACACTTCGTCCACATACATTAGTTTCGTGACAAGCTCCCAAGCTACAACAATTTCTAATTTTCGGTGCAGTGCAAATTCTTCAGATAAGCTTACCATCGATGACCATACTGAAACCGAGTATGAATGTCAGCCGATCATGTGAGTCCACTCCTCGCAGGGTATCCACTACCTGATGTAATGCAAATTTGTAAAACTAACTGCGAAGAAATGATTTTCAATGTCTGTAACCGTTCAAGCTCCTTGACACTATGACAAATCTAATGTAGTGCCCTGCGGTGCCAATAACACCTGCGCGTAAAGAACTTTTGTTCTTATGTTATGTCAAGGATACGTTCACACAGAAAATGTAGAGCGCACATGTTTCGCGTCACATGTCCTTTTTTACTCTCAAGCGTTGTATAAGCATCGCAAGGGTACCAAATTTCATGTCAATCCGGAGACTGTACTCATAGTACAGCTCGTAATCATAAATCAGCACCAGGTTGTAACAACAAGTTGTATGTAAATCACTTGAAAGAATGAGAGTAGTAAGTATCAATGAAATCAGAAAGTTGGTCAAATCAAAAAACACAGTAATTCTCAGTACTAGAATGGAACCTAACCTTGATCGTCACCCATTGCCCATCCGTGGGTCGCTCGCCCCCTCTCCCGTCTCTCACAATTCTTTTCATAAGCTTGCCACTTCCTAGTATGTCTTCCCATTCCGAACCTCTTTCCCTAGCCACGGCCTCCATTCTGCAAGACTCCTCTAGAGCATCGGATGACGGGCCCTTCACCTGCGATGCAAGGGTCTGTAACAATCTATTAGGTGCACCAAAATATAACGATATTTATGAATGTGAGTGCTCGGTGGGCAGTTTCGCTGTGCAGACTTGAACAGATTCGCAGTTGACAAAACTCCAGTTTGTACAGGATTGACAAAAGTAGTGTATACAACGAAATCTGAGAGCGAAGACGTTGCAAAGAGAGCAACCGTGACGGACAATAAGCGCATGAAACCAACCGCGGGGTCAGGTGGAAGCGTGAAATAAACATACGTGAGTTCTGGCAACATGATTGACGTCTGAATCTGACAGCGCTCCCCTTTCTTCGTCAATACTCCCATCAAGTGATTGCTCTCCAGATGATACTGCCCGCGGGCCGGCTGGGAGCACCTAAACTGTTGCAAATGACTACATGATAGTAAACTTGATTTTTAGGGAGCTAATGGAGTTTAGTACTAGGTCGTGATCGAGTACCTTGACGGACGCCTAAGACTGTTCAGACTACACTTCAATGGTAGATATAGGTCTGGAAGATGCGGTATGTAGTTGCAAATGAAATTAGCGATTACATATTTGTCCATTTGTTGGTGTTTTTGAAAAAAAAAACTCTAAGTAGTTTGACTGCTAATCTAGCAAGCGAAAAGGAAGAAAACTAACTAATTTCCAAAAAATTCGCTTAACAGGCCTGACTAACAGATGTCCAAAATATCAATTATGGAAGCCAATAGATCTAAAGGGAGTATTTTCAGAACTCCCTTGCAGGAGCATGTGGGGAATGAGCGATGAAATAAAGTATGTACCATAACCAGATCTGTTTTGTCGGCAACATAAGGCCCTATGCTTAAAAACAGTGTCGTCAACGAAAGTTACACGTGCAATTTTATCAAATTAAGCATGATACGCATATTTGATCCTAAGATCGGAGTTGAGAATATGTAAAGTAACCAATTCGGCATCCAGCATTTGATGAAACCTTCAGAAAACGGAAAAACAGTCCCGAGAATGCTGAGGAGTGATGAATACCATAAATTGTCTTCCTCCAAAACTTCAATTGCAATCAGAACTTTTGCGCCTTCGCATGGTCATCTTCACTTAATTACGTCCACTGCTTCGAATTTCCAAGAATTGTAAACCTAAGGTCTTCATAGTCGTCTCGAGATAACGGCTCAGTGGCGCATTACAGTTATAACTAATAAAAATTAAAAGTTTCGTAATTTAGCGAGTGAATATGGTTACACCTTACTGCTAAGAATGTATGCACAGCTGAAAAAAGGCTCTTATGACTCAAAGCTGACATTCTTCGTTAAGGTTATTCCCTTGAGTCGGCACATTGACCTGAGTGCGTCCCAACTCGGCTTGATCCTCCATGAGCTATCAACCCTTCTCGAGACTTAGACAGAACTTACAAGATAAGGATACCAGATCGCAGTGAAGAACCGAAATGGTATGCCTATCATTAGAAGCGTCTTGACGAGCTAAATCCAAATCTAACTTCCACATCTGCTAAGCTCTTCTCTAGAAAAAGTTATGAGCGTTTAAGTTTGGCAGACATCCAGTACCGCATCTTCGAGAACTATCTGTATGAAAACACTTATTTGTGTATTCGGAGCATGTAAGCATTTCTTGAAGCGGATGCACTCAAAACCATGCCAATTGATCACGCTCAAGTTGGTTTTCAAAGCGCGTTACGCATCAGAACCCTGCTAACTTCATATCTTTAACCGCCCATACCTTCTTCTAGAAAAGCTCTTAGCAGATAAGGAAGTTAGACTTGGAGTCAGCTCTAAGACGCATCTAATAATATGCATATCATTCCGGTTCGCCATTGTGACCTGGTATCCTTCCCTTGTTAGCTGGTGTAATTACATCGCAATTCACCTTGCTCACATCTTAACGCGAGCAGATAAGTGTGGTGCAATAAAAAGGCCCTGGCCAGACTTTGCTCAAAGCGCCCAAATTTTTCTAACGTCTTTTTCGTTGGAGGAGAGATAGGAGTGAAGCGAGATTAAAGAAACTTGAGCGCTTTCGGGAGCTTTTAAGCGAAGTCTAGCCGGGGCCGAAGAGGTATTCCAGTCATCTTTACGCGTTAGGCATACTGCCTCTGTAAAGTATAAACAAAAAGTTGGCAACGCACCTACTTAGAAAACAGACAAAGAAAATGTGCATATTCTACTCATTCCAGATCAATATGGAAAGAAATGACTCATAGACAGAACAAAGCATTACCTCAACAAGATCGTCATGCTCAACGACATCCATTTCCTGAAGAGTCTGAGGATCGGACACGTTCATCCCTAAAATAGACTCTAAATCAAATAAAGGAAAACGCGCACAGAACACAGAAGCGGCAAGTTCTAAGCGAATAGATAGACAGACAGGATGTAAGCGGTTCCAAACATTCAGATGATAGACCAGACTTAGAACCCTACAAAACCCGCGCAAAACTTGTGTGGCCACAACAAGACCAACATAAAAAGAGCACTCCAATCACGTTTTGCTCAATCCAGGGATTTCCTGATTCTGCAATGTGCACGGAGTTTTGCGGACTTCACTATTATTTGACGCCTTTTTGCAGCTTGATGACTTTTGCAAAGTGAAGATTGTGGATCTAGCCTTCATTTATCGTGTTGTGTCTGTCGTTGTTTGTTGTCTAATGTTTTTTGACATATCCAGTGATGTTCATAGCATTTACAGAATGACACCGCACAATAAGGATGAGGTGAAGACTGTGAAGACTGAGACCACTTCTATCGAGTTAATGAAACAGAAGGCTGGACCCCATTGCATCAGTTCTTCTCATAATAACTTGCCAGTGCAGAGAGTAAGTTTTGACATTTTTCTCACTTTCAAGCCTTATTTTATGTGGTTATTTATATAGCAGAGCTGACCTAGCCTGCACTTCTAGAAGCCTTTGCTCTTCTCTTGAATTTCATTTTCGTTTATAGCTGCTTTTGCCTACTTTCATGTTCCTTGAATGTGCATACTTCGGTGAATGTGTGCTGGTATCTTCGATCAGAGGCGTATGGAGGAGGAGAGGGGGGGGGGGGTGAAAGTTACTTACTAACTGAAAAATGTGCAAGGACTTGTTTATGCTTGCAAATGATTGACATAGTTTTCAAAAATTTCCTGCTTAGACTTGGCGTTGCAAAAAAGATTTTGGGGGAGTGGCTGCCACCACCCCTTCTCCTCTTTTAGAATTTCGGGATTATGTGCCGACAAAGTTCGGAAAGCATCCTAAAAAATTTTCGGAGTGCGTGGTTAACGCTATCACTTTCATTCTAGAAAAATTTGCCTCATATCGCCTTTGAACGGAAGTTCTGGGCACACTACTGTCTCTGATCTATCTTAACTATCTTCTCATTTCAGAATCTACAGGCTTATGACGTGAAGTTGAAGCAATGAATACTAATGTGCTCCTCGTTCGCATCTCTGAATGGTGCAAATTCTAGTTTCATATGTGATAGCGATAATTTTCCACGAAACTCGCATGATGTACAATCGGCGTTTACCATAGAAACCATGTCAGGGAAAGGCATATCCATGGTGCAACCACTCGTACCTATAGTTACAAATGGCTGCGAAGAGCGCGCCCCATGACCCAATGCAAATTTAACCGGCGCGCAGGGCGTTTGGTGTCGGAGCGTGCAATTCAGGCATACATGTCTACTATTTGGGCTACATAGGCTAACTAGCGAAGATCTTGATTAATGACAGCTTATCTGTATAATGGAACGAGGGGGGAGGATGTCATTGAGCCGTCGGCAACAAGCCAGCGATGAAAGACTAGGAATTGTACATGAATGATCTATTCTGTGAACTTCTTGCATGAAATCTTGTATGACCTTTTTCTTATAGTAAGCTTTTGTGCAGCAGGACTCCGTTTCTTGATGCTAAGGGTTGAAGAGCCTTGTATAGGTCCGTAGTTTTTGCTTTTGCTTTTGTTTCTGAAGACCAATCTGGCTGCCTTGTTGCGTACGTACTCGCGATAAGCAAATCAGAATGCACATCTCGTTCTCTATACTAAATGGACCGTATCTTCATGGTCTGAGTCTATAACAACCATGAAAGGTGGACTCTCCGTTCAACAACACAGGCTTTCTTTCCATCTGTCGCAAAAGTGAAGCTTAGAGAGGCCGGGTCTACACCATCGAAACTTCTGAAGAAAGTTCCTTCAATTCATTGTACTGCATGCACATAATTTTTGGTTATGACATCATGGAAAGCAGTTTTATCTTCAGTTCGCAATAGCTACCTAAGGAATGCGCTCAAATGAGGAGTGAGAGGCAAAGAAGCGAGAGGTGTCTGAAACACATATTTCTCACAGGCCATACTTATGCTTTTGTACACTTATCCACCCATCTGTGAAATATGAACGAAGACTAAGTAGCGAAAAGTGAGTGGGTCGTCATCGTCAGGTATATCTCAAGCCTAAGTAGTAAAGTAGAGAGCGCGACAGCGCCCTACCTGGCTGGAGGTACGTATGCCTAAACTAAGCTGCCGAAATTGATACGCAGTGATTTTCACGAACAGTTAAACTCGAAATCCATCTGAACTTACAACGCTCACCCGCAAGCTACTACCCATTGATAGAAAACTCGAAAACGCTTTGTATCTACAAGTTTTCTAAACATGCTCGAACTGATTCATCCAAGTGGTCTATCATCAAAAATGAGATAAGTCAAAAGTACTTTTGAAATTGAAGCGTTCTTGAGTTTCAGAGTGAATGATACTTACCTCTTGACACTTGGATCTGCAGCTTTCTTCTTCTTACGGCTGCCGTAAAACAAACATGTTCGGTAGAAAGCCCCTCTCTGTTTAAACACAAACAAATCTTACTTTCTGCTAAGTTCTTGAGGCACCTATTAATGAAAAATGATCTACATGGCAAGAGATGAAAGTTGAATCATCGCACGTTAACAACGGCACTTGCTCTTGTGATTCTGCTGCAGAAAGGAGTCGTTTCCCCTTCAGTGTCACTTGTTTTGCGCTGAAAGTTATAGGGTGTGCGCCCTTAACGCCAGGATTCCCGCGCGGAATACAGATTTGCACTGGGACATGGGGCGCGCTCTTCGCAGCCATTTGTAACTATAGGTACGAGTTGGTGCAACCTAAGACGCTGCAGCTTCGTGAGCTTTCGCGTTCTTAAAATTTTTGTTTTTGCAAGCGAAAATTCTTGCCTTTTCGTTTATCTGACGTAGGGCACCGGAAGATGTTTCAGTGTGACTGCGCTCACTTACCAGCGGCTGACAGTTGAAAATATCTGGAAGTGCATAAGACATAGTAAGGCAACATCGAAAAGTTCAAAATGCGGTTTATAACTTGTAATAGTGCTCCTATTCCTAACAAGGCTTTCAGAACAGTCTTACACGATTGCAGGTTATGAAGCTTTTTTTTTTGAATGTCCGAGTCTAAGGTGACAGACGGTTTTTTTGGGTGCTTCTGCTACGAGCATTGTGGCATGTTTTGCAGCCGTCGGTGGCCTTGCAATTCCATCCATTTTCCATTTTACCTTATGCTAATTTTTCAGGTGACTGTTCATCCACTGGTCCTGCTGAGTGTAGTTGACCACTTCAATCGCGTCAGCAAAACCCAGAGTGTCAAGCGTGTAGTTGGTGTATTGCTTGGTTCAATAAAGAAAGACAAAACGTTAGATATCGGGAACAGCTTTGCTGGCAAGTTACTACCATTATTCATCTTTACAGGGTATTTCAATCACTTATTATTTCAGTGCCGTTTGATGAAGATGAAAAGGATAAGAGCACGTGGTTCCTTGACATGGATTATCTAGAGAGTATGTATAGCATGTTCCATAAGGTCGCTGCCAAGGAAAAGATTGTAGGATGGTATCACACTGGACCTAAGCTACACAAGGTGAGCTCAATCATGTCTCTTTGCTTCGCTTCGCTTCGATTCGTTTTTTTTTTACTTAAATCGCTTTTGCATTCATGCGGTGATAACTGAACCTTATAAAACGAATCAATTTTTCGTAACATCAGGTATCGGCGATTTTGACTTTTACTCTGTACAAAAGCTAGAACTGCCCATATGCAAAATTTTGGTTTGAAAGTGACTTTTACAATACACTGTTAGGTCTCGTTGGCGAGTCTCCGAGCTTTTGGATCTTGAAGTTAATAGGTGAATGTGATCTAAATTATTTAACTCTACATATACTTTTGCTGAGTATCTTAAGCAAAAATTTTCTATCTTCTAGAAAATCTTTTCTGGTGTTGTTTACGTTTTTCACTTTATACCAAAATTTGAGAATGATATCGCGATCAACGAGCAAATGAAGAGATTCGTTCCACACCCTGTGCTTGTCATCATCGAAGCTGAGCCAAAAGACATTGGGCTCCCCACTGAAGCTTACATTGAAGTGCAAGAAGTCCATGATGTGAGACTGCTACGCATTATTTTCTTGTTTCTATCATCACAATATGTTCCTTACAGGATGGCACGCCTCCCATAAAAACTTTTGAGCATGTAGCCAGTGAAATCGGTGCTGAAGAAGCAGAAGAAGTGGGAGTTGAGCATTTGTTGAGGTACTGTTTTCCTTCCTATGTGCTACAGATTTTGGATCTCATTTTGTAGGGACATAAAAGACCAGACGGCTGGCACGTTATCACAGAGAATAACTGACCAGTTGATGGGTCTCCGTGGCCTCCACTCACAATTGGTTGACATCGAAAAGTAAGTGTAGATTTGGATCTTCTATACGATATGATTTTCATATCCTTTTTTCAGATACCTCCAAGACGTCGCAGCTCATCGTCTTCCAATCAATCATCCGGTAATTTATCATATTCAAGTGAGTACCGCTCTTGTTTGTGTCGTGCATGTAAAGTCGATTTTCATTAGGTGGAATGTATTATATCAGAGTCTTTTACATTTTTTACATTTTTCTGAAACAAAATTTTTGGCAAAGTTTCGTATCTGACATATATTAAAAACTGATAATAAGAGGTAACCGGCATCATTCTCACTTTCTCAGACATGAGCCACATCATTTTGAAGGCAATTCCACGATGGCACTCCTCATTTCTTTCTCATCTTCATATTTTAAGCTTTTTTCCATCCTTTTGACTGTGCAAAAACAGTTTGAGCATTTGATAGTTGGTTATACAAGCCAGATTGTCAAAATCAATTCGAAAATTTTTTGACAGTTTAAAAATGATTTTTCGTGTGTAACATGTAAATATGTATCAAGAAACTATACCCCGCGTAATGTGAAAATGGGTGCATTCTAAATCATGCAGTAGTCTTACTGGAAGATCTGATCTCTATTTACTTCAGAATTCTGCTAACTTCGAATAGTGATAGATTTTTGCAGCATTGCCAGTTTGCTTGCGTTCATGTTAGACTGCTGTTGGCTGAGGTTTTACAATGACTACCTTTAGGAGGTTCTTAACCTTTTGCCGGACGTTACACATCCGGACTACGTGACGGCTCAAAATGTTCAAACGAATGACCAGCTGATGTGCGTCTATATGGGGTCGCTTGTGCGTTCTGTCATCGCTCTTCACAACTTGATTGATAATAAGGTAATCAAACATCGCTAATCTGTTTTAATTCTGCAGCCTCTCTATTGCACACCTATCTTAGTTGGCGTTACAAAAGGCCGAGAACGAGCAGGAAGACAACGCTGACAAAAAGAAAGAGGAGAAGAAGAAAGATGAAAAGAAGGAGAACAAAGACCCTAAGAAAGATGAAACGAAAAAGAACGGTACTAAAAAGGAGAAAGCAGCTGCACCGAAAGCCAAAAAACCTTAGTGCGGTTTTCATTACCGGTTATAATTATTTTGCTGTTAGACTGGTCTCATACACTTTGTTTGTCTTTTTGGTGCATCTTTGATGGCCCATTAATGATGTAAAAATGGGAGAACTACACTACACTTGAGTATGATTTGTACCTTATTTATTACGAGATGAATCTTTTTTGTGCATTTTTGTGAGGTTCCCTTTTTATATTTTCAGCTGCCAGTACAATTTATAAAACATCTTATTGCTAGAATGTGAAGGGAGTACACGCTCGCAGATGCGGCAAGACTACAGCGCTGCGACCACGCCATTTCACACTAATATTTTTACCTGATCACGATTTAGATAGGCTATATGTGCAAAAGATTGGAAGAAGCCTTCATGAAAACTGGTTTTATGAACAACTAGCTGGCTTACCCGGTTCCGTCGTATGTTCCGAATAGAAAATTCCATTTCTCAACCGATCCGGACCAAACTTGGCACACATACACTTCGGGCCCCGGCGGGTGTCATAGGCTACTTTTCGTCATCGATCGATATCGATTTTATCGATTTTTTGCAAAATTTGAGCTAGGGGGCTGGAATTTGGCAGAGGGGTGTAATCGAGCATGCTGATCACCCCCCACGGGGGTGATCAGCATGCTCGATTACTCCCCTGTGCCAACTCCCAGCCCTGTAGCTCAAATTTTGCAAAAAATCGATAAAATCAATATCGATCGATGACGAAAAGTAGCGTATGACACCCGCCGGGGCCCGAAGTGTATGTGTGCCAAGTTTGGTCCCGATCGGTTCAGAAATGGAATTTTCTATTCGGACAACAGAAAGTTTGGGTTGAAGAGGAACGCTACTGCAGCCGCACAGAACACATGCGGAAATTAAAGTATGGTTCCTTTATCATCATGCTGGACCACTCCATGTAGCGTAACAATTTTTGAGGCTCAATGAAGTTGTATCACTGAAAGAAGCCGTTCCATCCAAAACTTTGCCTATGTGGGCTGAATGAAAGAGACAAACGATTTTTGAGGAGAGTGGACTTTGTTTAATTTTTTAAGAGCTGGTTTTGTGCATCATTATTCGACAATCGAAATACTACTATAATAAATGAGTGCGCTTCTAACAAATGCGGTACCGACTTGCTGATAATATCGATTTTTAATACCGCACAAAATTTTTGTTTAAAACAAACTATAATAGTAGGCGGGCGAAGTCGGTCTGTCAGCTAGTGTTGTGGCCGTAGAATATATGTAGCCGTGATAATTGACGGGTTTGAGGCAGTCAATATAAGTGTTTAGCGAATTGATGCAGACCTCAACTTAAAAAAAACCGTCATCTGCTTTTTACTTATCGCTGATTGCGGTAAGTTTTTGGGTAGTCAGGCGAGCCGACATTGACTTCACGAAACTGATTAGACCTAAGGGCATTCGACTGCAGAACATAACAATAGTGAAAGTACACTCTTGTGAGGTCCAGTTGCCCTCTGTTACATAAACGAGAACTATGGCTATGCGTACCGCTGTTAATCCATATAAAACTCACATCCGCATTAGTGCAGTCCCGTTGTTTCGAACATAGCAAGCACATCTCTGTAATTCGACTGTATTCGTGATTGTGCCCTCTCCCTTTCTTACCCCTTCCCTTCTTTTCCCTATCTCATGAAAAAGGAATGAGTAATTTGACATTAGCTGTCCAATCCTCTACTGATGTAACACCAGCTGTCTTAAATACGCTTTATCTGTTGTTCCAAGTCTTTGGCATCACTAGTGGTGGTGAGTACTAACACTGTTATGCCTAAGGCATACCTCATGCGATTCCGACAGATCGCCACCTTCACGCAACTTGGCAATTTGCCAAATTTCTAGAAATTTATTGTGCGTGCTTCTTGAGTGCATATTTGGGTAGTTTGTACAAGTTTCCGCAAACGGATCAAGTTGACCAAAAGAAGCGCATTGACGGCGAATTACAAAGAGCCGCTATTGTGCCAAATCGCGCAGCGACCGAAACCGCGTGAGGTGTGCCTTGGGCCTTAAGTTAGGGTAGATTTTAGAGCTAAAATGAAGAAATCTTGCAGTGGACACTTGCTCACCTCTACTTGACCCCATTCATGGATATATTGCATACAGCAACATTCCTTTCATTAATGGCCAGTACAGAAGCGGAACCAAAGCGCGACTTCGGTGTCACGAAGGATATGATCCCGTCGGTAAGATAATTACAGTCCTCCCTCTGCAAATGACTCTCTGTGCTCGTTACAAGTCTCGAATTCAAAATGTGATTCTGAAGCAACGATTTTGAATGCCGCCCTCATACGTTGGCGATTGCGTCAGATATTTTTCGAGCAATTAAAAGCGTAATTGCTTACTCATTACTGCATCGATAGAGAGATCGCACAAACAAATTTTGAGGATAGTTCTAACAAGCATTTGCCCGAGATAGCGCCAAAATTATTTTCAACTGTTAGCGAATGTAAACTCATTTGAAAAAGAGCACATCGAAGTGATGCTGAAAAGAAGTTTGTGTTTTTTCGATATTGTATGATTGAATTCTCATTTTTTGTTGAAACCCTCATTTTTTGTTGAAACCTTGTGACACAGTGCACTAGTGTCGGCACGAGCAGATCATTTATTTTATGTAATCTTACATATGAGCTATTATAAATTCAACATTTCTAATTTTAACTTTGGCTCTATCTTGAGGCTTTTGAGAGAATATAGTCCAAAATTCGTCGAATTTGTAAAATATCAGTAATTCTGCTCGCCAAAAGATCCCTTCTTCAAATGGCATTATTTTGAGTGCTCGCTTTGTCTAGTCTACCAGTGAGAAACCCAAAAAGTTTCCTGTGGAGAGGGGATGGAAGAGTTTTCTGAGTGTAGAACGTTTTGAAAGCTAGGTCATTTGAAATTTTTGTGATGTTTTCTAGATTTTTTTGTGAGTAGTCATTCCTATTTGAAACAAGTTGGAGACTGACGACAACTACGCGCCGAAAATATTTTTTCAGATAGCAACTGGATTTTTATAAAATTTCCAGAGTTATTTGATTTGTACAAAGTCAAAAATGGCTTTTCTAGGCACCTCGGTATCCTTTTGCTATGATGGAAGTTGGTCGTCAGAGCAATTTGGAGATTGTGTTGGGCAGTCAGCAGAAACAACCTTGCCAACTTCTTCTTCTTCTGCAAAAACTTCCTCTACCTCAACAACTGAGGAAGAAATCACCACGTCCTCAACGACAGGTATGTACTGACAGCAAGACCTACAAGCGTTTCTTTTATACCTTGGCAGAAAATAGAATTTGTAGCCAGCACTAAAAAAGCAGTCACGGCACTGGCTTTGGGAGGATGTCCCGTTGCTGGAACTCCAACAAACGGTAGCATCGTTTACTCGAATGGGATGGTTTTTGAGCCTGTACCGAATGGGACCGTAGCAACGCTAGAATGTGATTACGACAATGATTTGCAAGGTACAAGATGTTTTCTTTGCTTTCCACAAGGTACAGTCAAAGTCGTTGATTTTTAGGAGTAGAGTCCATGACGTGCGTTAATGGCAGATGGGAACCGGATGAATTTGGACACTGTAGATACAATGGATCATATGGTAGGCAATTTCAGAAAAAAAATAAAACACGTTAATCAGATCAAGAATCGGATCATTTTTCAGCGAAGGGTTGCCCTGCATTAGAGGTGCCACAGAACGGAGTGCTTCATGGTTCAGCAAGGATGGTTGATGGAAAATATCCCATAAATTCCACCTTGACTGTCACATGCTCTAACGAGACACTGCTCTATGGTTAGTTTCATTTGCCAGGCTAGGATAAAATTAAGCGAGTCAGCAAAGGTGGCAATCGTAAAACTCTAGATAATTCTGCTACTGGCAAGGGAAGGATTACTCGTCGAAGTGGGGTTTCCACATGAAATGTACAAAGTCTTATAGAGCATAAAACGCTGATTCCAAATCTGCTTCTCTTATCTGCAAAGCGGTTCTGGGAGGCAGTTATGGGAATTCATTGGAGTAAAAATTCCAAAGTTTGGCTAAGGTAAATACATTGAGGGCTTTCCGGAGCCTGAAAGAAGCATTGACTAGCCTGAATCTATCAGATTAAAGGTACTAACTACATAAGGCCCTTTTGAGTTCACAGACTGCAATTCTGAACGATTATATTGTAGCTGTACTCTCGAATCTTTGCTTCAAATTTCCATAACTCCCCTCCCATAAGCGCTTTGCAGATAAGGAACTCTAACAGTATACATTCGACCAAAATGTTTGCCTTGTGAAAACACAGAACTGACTTCCAATTACGGCAGAGGTGGAACTACTAGTACTACGATAGGAAATTCTTATGAGGGAAGGATACTTGGTGACCGTGACCACTCATAATGAGGTGAATACTGAAAGCGCTTTTGAATGCTGGTCTGAAAACTGTCTTCCATATCTGCGAAACGACAATCCGGATGGAGTATTTTTCCGAATGTAAATTTAACTACTGCGGAGTTGCAAAATCAGTACAATATTTCTTTGTATTTGAAACTGCTATATATGAACTACAAGGTTGGCTAAATAATATTTTCGTTTTCACATGGAAATCTTCGCAAAAACTTTCCTAGACGTTTTCTAATCTGATATTTTGTGAGTAAGTAGCTCAAAGCTTCTTCTATCATATAGCAACTATTCAGAGATTCAAATTATTAGTAAGGGACAGTTATTCCCCAACAAGGCTAAAATTCCAAAAGCTCAATCCTGCGACTTTAGAAGCTTCGTTTTCATGCTCTAATGAACGTAGAGATCAGCAATTTGGTATTTGTAGAGACTTTCCTACTTAACGACTACCAATTAGAACACTGGATCCGCCGTCCCAGAATTGTTGGATCAAAACAACCAAATTTTCTCATATTTAAGCATAATGAGAGAATTGGAGTTTCTCACTTCCTTGCGGAATTCTTTCATAGCAAAATAAATCCTATTCGAACAGATTCTATGTTCCAATTCTCATTGAAGTGCTTTTTCCAACGGAACCGAATGCTGGACAAAAAAGTGTCTGCAGCACCTGTAGGAGCCGGAAAACCGACCAAAATTATTTATTAGCCAACCTAATATTTAGTTTCAGTAAAACATCAGTTTATCTATGATTTCTTTTGGTAGCATCAACGGTAAACTAGACCAGCACTGCTGATTTCGACAGTAAGTGCACAAATTTTCTTAGAAAAAAACGCTCATAATTTCCATTAGAAGATTGTTTCGCAGATAGCGAGGGCATATTTAGAATCAGCATTTCGAGGTGCACATCGCAAAAAAAAGGCCACGGCCTCCAAGTGTATCCTTTCCTTGTTAGTGTTACGATGACAAAAGCTCCTATTGTCACTTAAGAACCACATAGGGAGCTCTAATGTTGTTTTAGAGGATGGTTTAAAAAAGACTTCATCCTTCTAAAATTACAAAAACATTCGACATCGATTAATTTTGTGGATAAAATTTTTATTATTTATTAACTCGAGCCAAATATGCCATGTAAAAGTTTCACCAAATGGAAAAAAAAACCCGAAATAGCGGGATTATGACCGATCGATGTAATCGCTTTGTTTGAGGTGTGTATGAAACAGTATGCACAGAAAATGGTTGGGATCCGCCAGAGCTAGGAAACTGCAGAGGAAAGAGATCACCGGACATTAGCGGTAGATAATATAGCCAAAGAAGTCACTGCTATAAGAAAGCTTTTTTCTTTTCCAATTCAGACTGCATTGACTTGGCTCCTGTCGTCGGTGGAGAAATCATGTATGATAGAACAGCCGAAAATGCTACTGCTGAGCTGAAGTGTCACAACAGTAGCACAAATGGTAGGCCTCTTTTTTTCGCTTTGCGTCGCTGCCAATTTTTGCGAGTGGAAAAGCGTTAGATAATTCCCAACAAATGGAGGAGACTCATTTTCTTTTTTGTTGGTTTCAAAGTAAACGACCACCCATTTTTTTTAATATGTATATGATTCACGCTGTATTAGAGAAGTCAGATTATCATGGGGATATTCCAGCTTTGAATAAGTACTATTGGGAAGATCAGTCAAAACATGGCTATTTATAGCTGAACTGGTGGGATGGCAGCGTAACAGTAGTAAAGCTTTTTTTTTATGAAAAAATCATTTTTTAGTAACTATTCCAGCCTGAAGCGTCTTCTTCTACTTCTTCAATAACAACCCATATCTTATTGTATACACATATCTCACTGACTGCCTGGTACATTTTTGGTAGCTTAATCATATTTTCATAATGCGCATTCATTGTCAAGACAATGTAATACTTTCAGGCAAAAAATTACTTTGTGCATCTTCTATCCTCAAAATACCTAAAAGTCTAGAATATCTATCTTCACTCACTTTGTTTTCGTAGTTTCAAAAACAATATGCTATGCGTTGATGCACAAAAGCCATCTTAGTAAGCTTTAATATGAAAAAACACATTTATATGCCGCTGCTACACTGAAAAATGACTATGTTCCAGAATAATGTAGCATGACGAGATTTGTATTCTTCGCATGTGAGAACTGAATTTTTACATTCTATGAGCATCTATCGTACCCATTTGGGGAACGGAAGTAACCCTATGCGCTATACAAATTTGATTATTATTTATAGTACCCTAATTTCACGCGTACAAGGCGCGGGAGATTTTTTTCGAAAATCGACCAGCCCAAACACGGCAAAGGACTTTGCAACCAAAAGACCCTGTGCCGTGCTGTATAGTGCTTAAGAGAATCGTACGGCATAAGGATCGTCTTCCGAAATACAGTGCGGCCGAGGGGCTTGGTCGAAAAATCGAAAAAGGTGCGCCTTGTACGTGTGAAATTAGGGTAGTTGTCCGTGGTACGATAACTACGCTGGACATAAGTACGGCGTTATTCCGCCCTTTAACCTTATAGAATTTCCACCTTGACGGCCTGTAACTCTTATTGACCCAAACATCTTTGATCCCCCATCAATGTACTCTTTCATTTTTCTAAGCGTCTCCGATTAGACTAGTTCACCACGGTTTAGTATGTCCGCCCTAGTCGCACATCTCTTCATAGACGCGTCCTTTCGGACAAGTCGTACAGGTGGACATTACGGGTATGCGGGGCCACAGCGACGCAGCGTATAATGCACGGGTTGCGATGTGGTACACAACAGGGGAAAATCATGCAAAATCTTTCTACTCCGATTATGTCATTTGAAAAGAATTCAAGGAGGCAGGAGAACAGGCACAGGCAATGAAGATTTATTTCTGTTTCTAACTCCCATGAATGTTGTAACTTGTTCTTGATCTATGGCAATCAACGTCGAAATAATGTCAAATGAAAACAACCGCTAGAAGTGTGATATAATTGCATTGAAAACAAGATTTTGCTTTTTCAGTTTTCTTGTTACCATGTGGAAATATTTGATACACAAGTCTTGCATAGAAAATCTAAAAAGTTCGTTTCAAAACGTGTATTTGCGACTATCTAGTAGAAAATTTTAGTAGAAAAGTAGTTGAGTAGAAAATTTTAATCATAACCAAGCAAAACATATATACAAACCTAATAACCTATTAGCCATGTTTTGTAATGCATTTTTCTAAAGTATTTGCTGGCAAAGCAAAACAATCTGTCCACTCAGTCCTGATTATGAGAGTACAAATCGCCGAACACCTTTACTAAAATTCCTCCAATTCCCCACAAATCCTGTCCAATATATGAGAGCGCCTATATTGCACCGTACGCATTTATGACAAAGTTGGATTACAGAATTAATCCCCATCAATAACAAACCAAAACAAATCGCCACATTGCATGATGTTGTAATACTTTTCGTTACCCCTACCGTTGGAAAACATTGAAGGACCAAATCAGGCAGAGGGATTGACGTGAAGCGGTTTACATGAATTTTGGAACTATGCCTCTTTCTTTTCAAATATATTTTTGAAAATTCAACACGCTGTAAAATTTTTTCGCCAGCTCTTTTCAAAACATCCGGTTTACAAACTTGCAGAGAATCTGAATGAGCAGAAAATTTGTTCGGAGTCCCCCCCCCCTCCCTCCTCTCAGTCTAATAGTTACATTTCACGCTTCAATGGTGCTCTGCGAATAATTGATTTAGACGCAGTTGGAAAGAATATTTATATACGAAAAAAGTACAGGTGTTTTAGGGGTACTTTTCCGTTATCCGGACCCATTTTTTTAAAAGGCTTTTATAAAATACGTTCTGTAGTCCGAATTTGTAAAGTACGAATTTTCATAGATTTTACGAGGACTGCCTCCCCGCCAAGTGTCAGGAAATGACACGTTCTAATCCACGACATGTTTTTTCGAAATCATTTCCGCTAAGGTAAAAGAGCATCTGTAACCACTTAAAAACTGTTCAGCTGATTTATGTAAGAGCAAAACTATCTAGAATCATTACAGGGGTATCTTGATTGAATCTAGCAATGATTCAAGAATGTATTTCACTTCAACATTCCCCCATGCGAGTTTATTCAGTCTACAAATGATGGCTTGAAGTAGTACCTCGCTGCTGCTTTTCGCCGCTTAGATAATGGAACCTAGCGCCCCTCTCTATTCTGGGCATGTCTAGCACGTTCACTGATAAGAGGGCGACGTTATTATGACAATGTCATTTTTGAAAATGTTAATCAAAAATAAGGTCATTATTGACCAAAAAAAGGTTGGACTTATGTCGCTAGGTAGGGCAACACAAACCCTTGGTAAAACTTGTTAAACATGTAGATGGCACGTCAAATTTTTTTGACACGTGGCAGAAGGTCGACACTCTTTCCTATGAACTTGGGACCAAATATGGCGCAAGGAAAGAAGCAGTATCCTTCTTTGAAAAAATGGGTCCGGATAGCGGAAAAGTACCGTTTTAGGGCTACTCTTTCGCATGAATTCTCAATAGCCTCCCATTAGTGATTTACTTATGAATGATATAAACTCTGACAAAGTGGTTTCTAAAACTACTCTGTGATTTGTGGAGTACTATGTAATGAACTTTATTTGCAGGAGCAACAAAAGCTGTATGTGTAGATGGAGAGTGGAACCCTCCAACGTTAGGGAATTGCAGCATTGCATACGGTAGGCACCATTAGTTTGCATTTTCATTTATCGACTTTGTTTTATTACATTGCATAAAGAAATCGCCTTTTTATTAAGCAGCTGGAGTATTCTCGTTTCTCTGCTTCATGTAACAATCTAGAGCTGAAGTGCTATCATATTCGTGTAATAATCTGAAATTTCTGGTTGCTTTTTGATTGGTGGTTAATTGAGTTGAACCCTTTTGGTTGAGTTGTTTTAGTGTTATTTTATAAAGAAAACAATTCGACAAAGCTTCTTCTAATTTGCTGCGTCATACTTTGCCTTACAAGGGAAGCATGTTTAGTCGAAGTGACCTTTTTAGATGTGATGTATACAATACTGAAAGGCATAAAATGCTGATTCCAAATCTGCCTTCAGTGTCTGCAGAACGTTTATGGACGAGGGGTTATGAGCGCTTATTGAAGTAAAAAAATTGAATGTATAGTTAATTCGTTGACCGCACGGACTGGACATCACTGCGGAGCACGCGCCGCGAGGGGTATAAAACACTTGCTTCCGTTCAAATTCGCCATTGTAGAAGTCGCGCTCTTGCGGCAACTCAGTCGCGCCGCTCGTGGTCTGCAGCGTTTGAGCAGTCCGTGCGGTCAACGAATCGGCGATACAAGTAGGACAAAAAAGACGTAATATAGTCGAATCATTTCATATAATCATTTGTGTCATTGCACAAACAGTTCACTTTTGGCGTTCCCATCCTGGACTTGGAGGAAACAATCCATTAGGTAAGCGTTTCCAATGTGCTCTCAATATTTCTAATAATAATAATATATATATTCCATTTTAGGTAATGATCACCTCAGATTAATGCAATCGATAACAATCGGTAAGTCTCTCGCGTTTTTGCGATTGCAAATCCACGATGAGGACGCCAAAGGTGACTGTGTGTGCAATGACACACATGATCGTATGAAATGATTCGACTGTACTTCTTCTAGCTCTACGATGGAGCAGTGATAATCATCAGAGCACTTTTCAAAATTACTTTGAAATAAGAAAAAATTACCACTCTCCGCATTATTTGAGGGCTAGTAAGTTTTTGTCACACTTTTTATCCAAAATGCACATAAAACGCTCATAACTTCGTCCATAAACGTTCTGCAGATAAGGAAAGCAGTATACTTTGGACCGAATCGAATGATTATTCGATTATTCGAATAAATCATTCGAATGCGAATGATTCGAAAATTCGAATAATCGAAAATCTGAGATTTCGAATAATATTCGACAGTCGAATATTCGAAAATTTTCATTTTCGAATATTATTCGAAAGTCGAATATTCGAAATTCTCAACTTTCGAATATTATTCGATAGTCGAATATTCGATGGTCATTAATTCGAACATTCGATGTCCATGGAATATTCGAATATTCGATGAGCAGTGAATATTCGAAAAATCGATAAGTATTGACTATTCGAAAATTCGAAGCATCGAATATTCGGAAATTCGATATCCACAACATATACGGGGTGTCCCAAGGGTATGTACAAACTGTTTAATCGCTAATACCTCTCACGAAGTCTTTTGCCAACCTTTAAGTAACATCCTGTAGGGATGGCTTCAGCTTACAAATACAGCAGAAAGCAGATCACCTATGTTTTTCTTGTTGTGTTATCACGGTATGAACTTAGTATATAGAGCAACTGCGAAATGAGACATCCAAAAGAGTTTCCCCAACAAAAAAGAGATTTCAAATCTATGTAGTAGGATTTTACGTATGTTTAACTACGCACAGCCTGTCAAGCCTTTCAAATGTGCATTCTCTCTTTTGAAAAGCGTTGGAAAACATCTGTTATGGTGTACCTGGCATAAGTTGCAAAAGGCGTTACGGTTGAGTGCAAATTCTTTATATAGTGAGTGTCTTTAGAAGCCTAGTGTAAGATCGGCCTTTTTGTTTCTCATTCTTGGGCAAACGGGTCTTGATATCTCAAAACCCTCCTCAGTTTTCCTACGGTAATTTACAACAGTGAAAAGCGATCGATACATCGCTTCATACTGTAAGTCTAGGTCGATGTTAGCCCACAGATTCACACACTGTTGGGACCCCTGTATGTCAGTCCACAACTCTCAGTGGGGATAAATAATCTTCTCTGATTTTTGAAATTCCTTCGCAACCGTCATGTACGCTTTTAGGTTCTTAAAAGCAGCGTCCTAAAAGATGGGTCCGGAAATTTGTGGCGATGTTAAATTAGACCCCCTACCTAAGCGGTGACGAAGTTCGGAGCGAAAAAGAGGGTCTGGTAAGCTTGAAAATTGCTCCCAAAGTGGCCCGTCTTACGGCAGGCCCGAATGCCGTCCGTACAGCGAATTCGAACTGCAAGGCCAGAGAACGCATAGCGCACACAGTCATGAGTACAGGGTCCCGCAACGACTCTGCGTCTCTACCCTGCATGCATCTCGTACTCACGAGCCTACCGTAAGATCCGGGCCAATTACGGGGAAAATTTTAGGCTTGGTAGCCCCCTTTTTCGCTCCGAACATCAGTCATCGCTTAGGTGGGGGGGGACTACTTTAACATCGCCACAATCCGACACCCATCTTTTTGCCGGGGCTGTAACTGAACCGTTTTTTTCGTTGTAAATTGAAACATAAAAAAATGTCTATACCTGAAAAAATTTATTCTGAGATGTTTTGGTCTCTTACAGGTAGTCTCACTGACATAATTTATTCGCACAGTATTCGAAAATCGAATGATATTCGAAAATCGAATATTATTCGAAAACCGAATAATATTCGAAATCCGAATATCGAATGGTATTCGATATTCGAATATTATTCGATTCGAAAACTTCCATTTTCGAATAATATTCGATAGTCGGATATTCGAAAATTTCGATTTTCGAATAAAATTCGATAGTCGAATATTCGGAGTTTTCAATTTTCGAATAATCTTCGATAGTCGAATATTCGAGAACTTCGATTTTCGAATATTATTCGATATTCGAATATTCGAAAAAAATTTCGAATTTCCCAAAGTATAGAAAGCAGATTTGAGATCAGCGTTGCATGCCCTTCAATATAGTACACATCCCCTTTAAAAAGACCACTTCGACTGAATAAGCTTCCCTTGTAAAGAAATTTTTTTACGTGGCAACAGCCACTGGTTTGTGTGGGGTAGGTAGGCATTCTCTTTTGAGAATACAAAAATTTGCGGAAAATCTTTTGCATAGCTCACAACATGACCAATGAAACTGCGGCAAATTTTTAGTGAGGACGAAGATGCTTTACCCTCACCGCGTATTTGCGAATAAAGCACAAGAAGAAGATTGTTCCTTCCGCCTACTTTCGCTGATACCCTCTATGTCTTTACATAGTCTATGCAATATAATATCATGGTCTTCTGCAGTGGAAGAATTCCTAAAGACAGCGTCCCGGCAAAATTTCGCTCTCCGGTTCACCTCTTCGGAGCCTTCTTGCAATGCTGAAGCCATATCTGAGCTTTTCGGCGCTTGAAAATGACAAAAATGAGCTTTCTTCGAAGCTTTCCCTGTCCGCGTTCGCTCCAAATCACGCGTAAGAAGTGGGTGTGGCCTGGAAATGGGCGGTGTCTGGACGCCTTGCGGAGCGGATTTTGCTTTCCAGAAGCCCTTTTTTGCTCCAGATTTCACTGATAGACTATCTAGAGGGTCTGCCATTGGAACACTGTAAAATCCCGGTACCCGTCATTTTGAGGGGACGCTGCCTTCAAGGGTACTCACAATCAGTCACACAGAGTTCAAAAGCTTGTAGCTTTAAGAAGTCCAGACATCATACAGCGTTAAAGCGAAAATCTGACGAGTAGCGGTTCCGTTTGCCAGAAAATAACTCTTGAAAAAATACGCCGAGATGCTTTTATCATTGATTGACCTACTTCAAGTAATTATTAGATCTGCGAATTTTATCGAAGATGTGAAAAGCCTAGTAATTACGAAGCACGAAGATTTCTTTGACTCAAAAATAAGTAGTGGAATTCGAATTTACTACACCATTTGTGAATAGATTTGTGAATGATCAGAAATCACGGCCATACTCTTGCTCTGGAAACTGTTGACTGCATTGGTGAGTGGCGCTTTCAATGCTGATAAAATCTGCCTAAAAAGTAAAACTGCAAGTTAAAAATTTTTTTCATCAAAGCTAACGGAATTTTATGTACGTTTGAGTCATTGAACCCTACGAATCTGCATAATCGCAGTACTTGAGGTGTATGAAGCTGATTTCTAGCCATTTAGTTTAGAATCGGTCTGCCCACCGTTTGCCGCACCAAATGGAGCTTTTCTCAGATATACTCCAAATGCAGATATTGTATTCGGAACAGTGGTGGATATGAGGTGCCACGATGGAAGACAAAATATTGGTACGTGCTTTTTAAGGTCTCTAACTCCTTTCCAGGTTTGGAAATGCCTCAAAAGTTCTACTCTTTAGGAAACACCCGTTCCTTATGCGATGAGAGCGGATGGATACCACCAGAACTGGGCTCTTGCTCTCGTGAAACATGTAGGACTGCTTTTTTCTATTCAATAGCAAAGCAATACTAAGAGATTTTGCAATTTTTTTGATCTGCAGACTACCCGTCGATATGCCGTCCGTACATGAATCGTCCTGGAGGAGAGATCTCTTACATTACCAATGTAACTGAAGATGTGACATTGACGAAGGCAAAACTGATTTGTTTAGAGGGAAGGGCCGCTTTAGGTAGGGTACTGTCAAGTACAACAAATTTTGCGAATATAGTATTATCCATTGGTAACAATATTTGCGGGTAAAAGATGGCGAGCCATAGTCTAAAAATGTATGCTCTCTTCGACTATTTTTTACGCACAAGTGTTGTCGACACCGCAACAGAACTGTATACGGCAAACCTAACCATTAATAGTTTGAGAATCCGTATCACATAGTCTAACCCAAGATTCCCTCTATTTGAAATAGAAATTTTTAGGGCACAGGCACTCTACGTGTACAGCTAGAGGCTGGGTCCCAGAGCTCGGGAATTGCTCGACGGGTAGAGAAGGCTTTTCTTCGAACGCAAGATGCCAGAAACAACGAACATCTTTTATAGCACGAGGTTGTCTGAGCATGCCCGACAAATCCGACGGCGTTATTCTCTACACTTCGAAAAGGAGAGGGGATTACTATGTAAATGGGACAAATGCAACACTTGAATGTGATTATGCAGATAATGTTGAGGGTGAGCTGCTCGAATTGGAACTTAAAGTACTGAGATGCAGTGGCGGTCCCAGTATTTCGGACCGGGGGCGGGCGGGGCGGCAAAAAGTTTCCTGAGCGAAGGCGCTTGACGCTAGCCAACGCACTTAAAATTTTTTTTTGAGATGCTTCTTACTGTGGGCCCATGACCCCAAAATATTAGAAAAAGGAGACGTGGCGGCAGCCATGTCTCCGAAGTCTTTTTTACACGGCTAATTTGAATTTTTAAAATTTTTTTAAAAATTATTTCATTTAATACAAGTATAAACAAGTCACCTGCACATTTTTATAACCCATATAAGTAACTTGCAAAATTTCGCGACCTATCCTCGAGGGTGGAGGGGGAGGCCCTCCCCCCCCCCCCCTCCTCCTACCGCCACTATCGTTTCTGTCTAGAGCTAGCTGAATTTCGCTTCATATGTAACAGTTTGTCAGAAATGGGAACCATTAAAGCATAGTAACAACGTTGTTTCAATGCTGCATCTTCTCAATAATTGTGCTTAGAAGTACCAGGATTTAAAGAAATTTCGAGCAACATTTATTCTTTCAAAAACCTTTCAGTGTTTGGGTGGTTCTGAAGAGTATCGAAATTTTTTCGGCAAAAACTGCTGGACATGAATTCTTCAGAATTCTGTGATTTTGGAACTTGAACCTAACCATTATTTTCCTGAAATCACTACTATTATGATTAATAGGGCAAGGTACTGCAATGAACTTGTTGCACGGCTGAGTTCTAATTTCAAAAAGAGAGGATTTTTGTTTAGCGCTTTGGCCGTATCCGTCATCAAAAGAATTTACCTACCTTGAAAAGGCTATATAAGATTAATTTCTAACCCAAGGACACGATCAGCACAATAACCTTTCATGAGGTTTGATTTCTACCTTGTATCCAAGTATGCCATGGTAATTTTGAGGTTCGTTGGTGAATGTGTTCACCGCTTCTCTTTTGACAAACTAAGTGGCTCTAACGAATGTTAAGCAACCGAGAGTGTCTTAAGGGCAGCTTCCGGGCAGGTACGAAAATGTAGAGTACAGGGCGCTCGTCGTGGTAAGGCTATTGCCCAACTGGAAATGCATCAATTTGCATGTGAAGCGAGAAATCCGCTTCAGAAGTGGCGACTGGAACGCCCCGGCGACCGGGGACGAGCTAGTTCGATAAGCTAGAGTGCGCATACCGCACACAGTCAAGACGTAGGATCCCACAAAGCTCTGCGTCTTAACCCTGGCGGCAGGCGACAAGATTCAGTTCAAGAGCTTCTGGAAAAGCCCGTTTTCGGCGTTTTCGTGCCCTCCAAGCTGCAATTTCAGAATCAGCGGGAGGAATAAGCCCAGGTAAGCGCAAAAAATTCCATTCGAAATTTTGCCCGAACGCTGCCTTTAAAAGGCTCGTACAATAAAGTTCAAGGCTTTCAACCGACCCCGTAAAGTAACTTTATGAACGGGCTCTTCCTCGTTCCCACATGTGACTGATCGTTTTAAAGTCGTTAACTTGTTTCTCATATACGTGTCTAATTTTTTATTGTTCTTAGGACTAGCGGAAACTGTTTGTCTTGATGGAGAATGGAGTCCTGCACCATTGGGAAATTGCAGCACGAACGGTTTGTCTTTCACTTTTAGTACTGCAACAATTTGTTCCAGTATAAGTCGAATGGATAAATTGTACAAAACATTTGCACAAAACGTGTTCACCTTTGTTTTGCTGAAGATATTTTTTAATATATGAATCTAATTAGAATATCAGTTAACAACAATAGATCTTAGCGTGGCAGAGTTTGTAGTGCTGACTAACAGTGTTATTCAAAAAATTTTCATCACATGCTTCGAAAAAATCATCTATCCAATATTTCTTTTCGATGCGATTGAGATAGTATTCCGATAAAAGAGGCACGCAATTTCCAAAGTTTTGTGTCAGTTATGAAATCATGCAGGGAACTTGTTGTATTAATAAATAAAAAAAGTCGTATGAGTTCCGTAGATCTCACTCAGACAATCGCAAATGACTCAGGGAAAAACTGATATTCTAAAACTTCCGGGGGACACTCCTATTGCAGCTGCCAGGTAGGGCGGGGCCACCCACACGGCCCAATAGGAGCGTCTGCCCGAAATTTTTAAAAGTTCGGTATTCCGCGGAATTCACTTGCGATTGTCTGAGTAAGTCTGCTCGACAAATTTGTTACTCGCCTGACATTACCACCCTTCCCGAAACAATTTTTAGCGACCTCTCTGAGCTATTGCAATAAAGAATATCTAAATTTTATACAAATCAATAAATTTATCCTTTTCTTTATAAATATTCAGAATCTGTCTGTCCGTTATTTGACGTACCTTACGGAGCCGTTCTCAACTATTTCCCAAACATAGACGTTGCAGTTGGAACGACGGTAGGTATGAGGTGCCTAGGCAGACGAGAAATCGGTATGCACTTCTCATATCTCTTGTGCTCCCATTGTTCTGAATTATTTCATGATTTTTTGTCAGGGAACACTCATTCCACTTGTACTGCTAGCGGTTGGTCACCACCTGCACTTGGCTCTTGCTCAAACGAAACTGGTAAAATTGTTTGCTAGCAGCAACATGAGCGCTCGAGTTTTCTTTAGATTATTCCTTATTATGTCCTCCCTTCACTATACCTGCTGGAGCAAAGATTGTCTACACTCCAGATGCATCGAATATAACATTGATGAGCAGAGCAAATCTTCTGTGTACAAACGGAGCAGAAGTTATAGGTGAGACAGCATAAGCGTTATCTTGTAGTCAGTTGAAAGCTGATATAGCGCCTTTGCGCTTTCCAAAGGAGAAATGAAGTGTCATCGTCGTAATGTCAAACTGCGCGAAAAAGTTGCTATAGAGCATATCTTTCATTTTCACGCTCTGCCATTTTTCACGCAAGCGTGTCGTCACCGCAGGTGCACTATATCAACCGCCAAACTTACAAAATTCTAACTTACCTTGCTGATAAATGACTAAAGATTTTGCAGGAGACGCCTACTCTAGCTGCACTTCTAGTGGCTGGGTTCCGGAGCTGGGATCGTGCTCGAACACAAGCAGCGGTGAAAATTTCTTCTTCTATAAGCTTGAATATGTATAATGTATCCAACTTTATCAAATCTTATCATTTTTAATTCATAGATGAAGTAGTGACAAAGCGTAATATTTTCGTCATAGCGATCCGTAGTAAAACCCCATTCATCCCAGTTAACCTGAGATTAGTCACTCAGAAGAATTTCTCAGGGTGAACCTAAGGCCGCCCACCTCCTCGTGCTTTAGAATAGTCAGTCGAACAAACAGAAGACCGTCCGGCTAAGTTTCAACGTAATGCCACTTGGTCGAGGGTAGATCCTAGGGTGAACCGAGGGCGATAGCGTGCAAAGAGGATCAGACAAAATTCCGTAATACTCGTGCGTAACTTACGGGACAATTTAGTTGACGTAATCTTGCGGTGCAAAACTCACGAATCTGCACAATTCGGGGCCCAAATAGGCGAGGATCAATGAATGGCTGATTAGGCGATGAAGTGAAAGAAAACAGATTTTTTTATCTGTTTTTGCAGAGTTTGCTTAGGTTTTCTGTTGAAAACTACATCAAACAAGAATTTATTTTTTCTTTCATTTTTTTGCGTTCCAAGATTCACAGTTTTTCGTGATAACTAAAGTGCCTTGGTTTTCTTTTATCCATTCCTTTGCTAGACAACATCCTTGATAGCACCTCTATCGTTTTTTTCCATAGTGGCCGTTACTGGAGGTGGTCCGGCGAAGGCGCAAAATTCTGACATTAGCCGGCCTCGAACCACTGCTTTCGTGTTGAGTCCCATTCACTTAACCGTTCGACCAAACCTGCCTAAGGAGCTTTGTTTTTGAGAATGCCCACGATTTTTATATCTAGAAGGTGATCCACATTTCAATATTATTACTGAATGCTGGACTGAGGCGTACTACGTTCAACGTAGGCCCGCCCTCAGCCGTGTTGCGCTGAAGGGCTTTACTACGGGCCAGAATCTCATTCCTTCTGTATCACCCCATGTCAGTAGCCAAACGATACAAAGACCTATGCCCGTAAACAAAAATAAAATAAAAAAAAACTAAAGAGAGGGGACAATCTTCGGACAAGACTCTTTGCAGCATGTCATTTTCCTGCCTGATCTACTAGGCGAACTCAATATATATTTTATAGAAAGAAAATGCGAACCACTCAGTATTATCGGTTCCGGAGCTATATATACACAGCCTATGGTCGATGATCATTTCGTCGATGGAACGAATGTCACTTTGAAGTGCAGTGATACTGAAATGATTGCAGGTGAGCATGGAAAAAATTCGGATTTCATCATACAGTCATCATCCAAAGTAGAAGCAAAATTGATGTTGAAAGAAATGAATTGGCTTGAAATGTTTGGGCGATAAATAGTCGGTACTCTTTTTTGAGCAAAACGTCAAGAAACTAGTACAAGATGCAAAGCTTAGTGAGCATGTATTTCTGATTTTTTTAGTATTTCCGCTTATTTTCCAAAAATCTTTCTGCAGCTCTTACTCGTGAAACAGTGCCCTGTACGTAAACCAACGAGAGATTTTGAGCAGAAAAAAATGATTTTTGAATTTTAAAATAGAAACTCGTGCTGAGCAGTCGGAAGGCGAGAAGAAGGATATTTGTTTTTCTCATTGGTTGATCAAGCGACATATCAAAATAATTCTTCAATCTAAACGAAGATTCATTTTCAAATTTATAATTTTGTTGAGAACTTTCCTGGAACTTGTATAAGCAAATCTGCCAAAAAACTGTTTTTTGAGAGAGGGTAAAGGCTAGAGGAGAAAAATCTCCACCCTTTGTTCGCACTCTCTACCCACAAATTTGAAGATGCAATTCATAAGTAAGAATGGATCTCATTAACAGTTCAATGAAAATTTGCCCAATGAAGAAAAACTACGCAGCTGTGGCGATCACTTTCGTAAAAAAATTTGCAAAACGAATAGAACTGAAGCAAACCGTTAGATGAAAAACCAAACCAAAAGAACAAATTTTCCGGTCCATCCATGGCACAGTGCGTGAATCAAACATGGATACCTGCAAAACTAGGCCGATGTATATCTAAAACTGGTATGTAAAGTGGGCTCTTCTTGTATTGGCTCTACAAAACAAGCACATCCAGGAAAAAACTGTTTCACTATGGATCTGCCGAGAAGTGGATACTTCAGCTATTCGAATGGTGCCATTATTGGAGATGTGCCACATGGTACTCTCGCTACTCTCATGTGTTCCGACTCACTTGTTGTCAAAAGAGGTGAGTTGAATGGCGCAACATATTCCAAGAAATAACCGTACTTCTAAAGGAGGGACATCAGCTTGATTCTATATGAAATTATGAATAAATTTTTTTTATTCTGTTATGGATCTGCGTCAAATATTGTACAGTAGAGCCCTTAACTCGGGTGAAAAAGACGGATTGCGGCGTGTTACCCAATCTCGACCAAACCGTCTGAACCCCGTAACTTATTTAAAAATGATTTTCATGAAGTCTGACTTTGATTTTTGGAAGGATGATACAAGAATTCGAAGAACCATCATTTGTTCTACAATCACTTTCATTGAAAAGTTTTCTTTTGAAATGCCGCAACGAAAAAATCTCAGCGAAGCCGTTCTCACCACGGAATTCCTGCTTGAACAGATTTTTCAGATTTTTGATCAATGTTTCAACAATCATGGTTTATTGCCGCACTGAAAATAAACTATGTGAAATATTGAATTTCTATTGAATTCTAAATCAAAATTAGATGTAGAATAAATGATGATTTTTCAAATCGTTGTAACACTGGCTTTTCAAAAATCACCTCCCAATCTCTTGGAGATCATTTCGTTAACAAAAAGTTAGAGGGTCCCTACGGTTTTCTCGATTAGCCGTCGCAACCCGTTTTTCCACCCGAGTTGGGAGCTGGATTGTAATATTAGTTCTAGATTGCACAGAAAGCGCCTAAAACCTTGTATAATTATTTTAACGCGATCATTGCCGTCGAAAAAAAAACAAACTAATATGAGTACAGCAATGAACAAAAGTCGTTCTTAGCACTATTAAGCTTGAGATTTATTTCAACAATAGCAAATCACTTGAAAGAGTTCTTTCGGAATTGAATATCATACAGACGTTGGAATGTATTTATCGTATCAGTTTTGTAAATGCCTGAGGGTTTATTCTAGTGAGTACATTGTTTTTACATCCTAAATTTACTAATTTATCCTTCTTTGCGCTTAGTCAGATGCATACTTTTTCTGTGTTCCATGATTCTTCTTTTGACTTCGTAAACGTTGAACAAAGATTTTTTAGCTTGGTTTGCTTCCGTATTTGGAGTGGTGAATATCATGTCTAGAGCTTTTTGAGTCTAATTTGTACATTTTTTGCATATTGCAGATAAATACTTACGCACACAAACGTAAGAGACACCATACTACAGTCGAATTTGATAAATTGTTGAGAATAGATTGAGGGGTAGGGCGAAGAGGATAGTTAGAGAAGCAATATTATGACACACTAAAACTCAAACTGTAATGAACAAGGTTTGTATAAACTCTTGAATTTGAACAATAAAATAATTTTCAGAGGGTGTAGGCTCACGTAAAGGAATACGTTTTCTATACAGAGCTCAGAAATCTTGATTTTCCCAAAGTTTGAGCCAGAACATGAGAGCAAACCATAAAAAAAAACCAAAAATTGAATTTTCGCCCCAAAAAATCCTACGATCCACTCACTTGCTCCTGCGTGTGACTGACACATTTACACAATTATTCATAGGTACACTTGCTATATTTTTTTCGTCACTAGAAATAAAGAAAAAATTTGGAAGCGGAAAATGGCGAACTCCAACCCCAGTGGTCCTGAGCTCCTCACGTACATGCCGTTATATACTACCTTATTTTCAGGTGTATAAGCCGCGGGGTGGTCCTAGCTTAAATCGACCAGCCCGGATACATCAAAGGACCCCGCAACCAAAGGACCCTACGCCATGCTGTGTATTGCCTGAAAGAGTCGTACGGCATAAGGATTGCTTCTCGAAACACAATGAAGCGGCTGAGCAGCCCGGGCGAAATTTTGAGAAAGTGCGGCTTATACACCTGAAAATAGGTGTATAAGCCGCACGCAGCCTTTGATACTTTGACCATAAAATTTTGGCCTTGGATATGCCTTAGTTCTTGAGATCAATTTGCGAAAAAACCCGAAAAAGCTACATTCTTTTCTTTCCAACCTAATACAACGCTCCTGGAAGTTCATAAAAATCCAAAATGATGTAAAAGAAGAATAAGAATTTTTGAAAAATGAGTAAAAAATGGAGGTTGAAATGCCTTATAAAGTTGCTTTTACGTTTATTGTAAGTCATTTCCATAAAGGCAGAATTAATGTCGAGATAGCTCTACATTTCTCGTCCATATATGCCGAAAATGAAACTTTCGCGAATTTTTTCAAAGTTTCCTAAAGAAAGGGGGAGGAAATGTAACAAACTTGTGTAACAATTCGGTCAACAAGTGTACCTATGAATAATTGCATGTGTCAGTCACAAGCAGGAGCAAGTGAGAGGATCGTAGGATTTTTTGGAGCAAAAATTCAGTTTGTGGCATCATGACTTGCTTTCATGTCCTGGCTGCAAACTTTGGATAAATCAGGCAATGCGCAGAGGTCATCTTGTAGGGCTTCTTTTGCTCTTTTGAATGGTACCCCTCACATATTTTTTGGATCCGTCATATTGCTTTGTTACAAAAAACGCCATTCTTTTTTTCCGACGTAATAGTAATGCGAGGGGGGTGCGGAAGTTTAAACTCTTCACTAACGTAGTTGGAAACTTGCAAATATTAGGTTGAACACTAAGTTTTGCAACTTTTCTCATAACTTCCCTCTCACTCAACATGGTGCACTCAAATTTTGCCACTGTGTTGGTTATTATGTATACTACAAGCGCAGCTGCTGTCCTACCAAATTCTGACGTCGCAGTGAGGGTTACGGTAGGTGTATGGTATGAAGGGGAAAAATTCAAAGTTTGACGGATTTGGCTGAAACTTGGCATAGGGATGTTATCCGACATGCTGATCACGAAAGCGATAGTGAAATTGCGTGATAAGGGGTTTTTTATAGGATTACTGTAGGTGTACGATATGGGGTCTCACCCTAAACAAGGAAAAAGGCGTTGATTCAACAAATGAATATGATATTCGCATTCGGCAGGTCAAATAACCTTACTATGTGAAGTCTCAGCGGAATTTGAGCTTCGGACTCTTTAGTCATTGACGGTCGTCCCCAGCAGCTCTTGCGTACATCGACTCGTTCGACTTTATGAGGACGCCAAACCTCGACATGCCTATAAATTTTGTTTCTTTCTTGCTAGGCCAAAGGAGTCAACCTCTTGCAATAATTTGTAGACGAATCCGGATTACTGCGCATGGTCTAGGCTGCCAAAGGCTTCATTTTAGCTTGAAACCTCAAAAATTCTCAAATTTTACTAGTTTTCGAAAAATGCCTGAAACTTTTCTATTTCGCGTTCAAAATTCAGACAATTTGTGCTCACTTGTAGCTCACATTGCATTCTACATGATGCCAAAGTTTGAGTGCGCCATGTTGAATGAGAGTGAAGTTATGAAACAAGTTGCAAAACTTAGTGTTCAACCTAATAGATCGGAAAAATCTCAACAAAAAATTCAAGAATTGGATTCATCTAGTGTTATATAGTGTGGACCCCGGCCAGCTTCCCATAGGTACCTGCGCGACGCACCCGCAGCGCACGCCTTCAGTGCGTCTCCTGTCCTAGCTTCTGATGGAAATCCTCCTTTCTCTCTCTTTTTTTTGTTTTCAGTGTACTATGTTCTCTCTATTTTAGGTATAAACAACTTGCGAGATCCGGTGACGAGATTATACGTGCTCCAATAGTTCTAAGAGCTTCAGTCTTGTATAGTATCTTGTGTTTTCCCTTTTCTCTGAAAAATTGAGATTTGAATGGATATTAAGACAATATTTTGCAAAAGCTTCTTGTATAAAATAAGAGTCCCTTTGATGTATAAGGTGTGGACAGTGTCTCAAGTCAAAACTGAGCCTTCCGAGAAGCCAATAGGCAATTATTTACTGAAATATCCACTTTTTTGGAGTCACCACTCTAAATTCTACGTCTACGAAGAGAAATGTTTTAAGAATGCTGCTCTTTAATTTTTCTACGTATACTTATTACAGCCTATCAATCAGTGCAAGTTCGGAATATGCATCCATTGATTGAATTTGAGGTACTCATGGAAGTTGCCTGCGTTTCATTCTTGCACACGTCTCTTTCGAAGGGAACCTAGAGGTTTCCACCTTACATTTTTCTCCTTTGTGAGCATAAATATGCTCTACTGCTCATGAGTGGGGCGAGAGGCATTGAGAAGGGCGCGCGCTGCGTGCGCGCTGCGGAAGTACCTATGGGAACCTGGCCGGGGTCCACACTATACGTATATACTGAAAATTTACAACTCTCCACATAGGTAATGTGGATAGAAGAAAAGATCATGTAAAAAAGATGGAGTTTTTTCAAATGAATTGTAACGAAAACGACGTAATCTGATAGAATTTGCCGTGCAGTGCATAGCTTTGGTATTATTACGGCAGAATATGGATTACATGGTTTAATCTCCACTGCTATGACGGCATCCAGCCATTCTGAGCGAGCACAACGAGCATTTATAATTCGATAGATGTTCTGAAATGCATCCAGGTGCAACGACTTCAACTTGTGTCGATGGAGAATGGATTCCAAAAACCATGGGAACGTGCGACATTCAAGAACAAGGTAGCGATATAATTTATGGAATAAGCTTCCTTTGAAATTACCAAATACGACCTATCAATCATGAGAGGAAACCATTCAGACGACGAATCTAATAAACTATTCGTCTATTTTGATAAATTCCAGCGTGTCCTCTGTTCACTGCACCAGCAGGAGCGACAATTCACTACAGTCCTAATATAACCGACATTAGTCTATGGAGCACTGCGAATATGAGTTGCATTGACGGAGCTGAAGTAGTTGGTGAGAAAACTGAATATTAATGATGAAAGGTTTGCTTTTGTCGGTATAAGTGAAGAGGCTGTTCAAGGAGAATCTTCTGCGACGTGCTTTGCAAGCGGTTGGGTGCCACGCGAATTAGGAAAATGTCCAAATACAACTACCGGTGGAGAGTCTGCAGTCTTGATGATCCTTGAGAGAAATGAATGTGTTTTTCAGAAGTGGGATGCACAGCTTTGTTTACTGACAACAGCTCGGAAATAATTTATTCATCGGGTATAGTAAATGGTCATTACGCCAAAGGAACTGTAGCTAGACTGGAATGTGCGGACACCGAAATGGTTGCGGGTATGTTTGTCAGCGTTCTATTAAAGCAGTCAGCCAGGTAATTTTGAAAAAATGTGAAATTACAAAATTACAGATTTGAACAAAGGTTGTGAAATTAGGTGAATAGCAAATAGGAATAGGATTTTTAAGCACATTTACTCCGAGTCATCTATTTCATATACTATAACAGAAAGGAAGATGAAGTCTGTTACTTTGGTGGCAACAGCAAAATTTATCAAGTACAGTTATCGGTTCATCTCATGCCCTTGCGGTAAGGACAGCAGTTGGTCGTGATTGAAGTGGTTCGACTGTAAGGACCAATGCTCGTATGAAATGGCCATACAACAAATTTCCATATTTCTTAACTCATTTTGTTCACTGCAGGTGTTTTCCTCACCTTAAGGGCACTACAACATCACATCTACTCAGGGCTCGGCACGAGGTGGCTAGATGAAAATGGAAAAAACGAAGTCCCCCTTGACTTTTGGGAATTTTCACGAAGTCCCCTTTGACCCTGAACCAAATTTCTTCTAAAAACCTGAAAAATTCCCGAAAATCCCCCAAAAAACGAAACGTCGACTAAAAAAAAAGGTCGCCGTCGTCAATTTTCCGTATGTCCTCGCTCACAAAAACGAAACCCCCTTTGCTTTTCTTCCCAAAAACGATATCCAGCTTGCTTGTAAGCCACCTGTGCCGAGCCCTGCATCTACTAGTTTATGATCAACATCGATAAAGACGTGTCCAGGCAAATTTGGACACATGGGGATCGCAGCGGAAACAGATTTTGGGGATCTAACTTGCCTTCGGCAACGCGAATGCTGACAGGGATCCGAGGTATTGCCTCCAAACTAGAGCCCGCTATTTTGCATCGGCTTTATACTTTTACTGCACAGCGTACTCGTGATAGTCCCGCGCGAAATCCTGCGAGTCGATATAAGTCTCTCCTAGGTAACGGGCACTGCGTCTAAGCTCTGATTGTACATTTAAGACGGTAAGCACTATGACGTTTTGAGAACTGGATATATGTTGCAAATCTTCTCATTCTCATAAAATGGAGGCCTCTATCAAGTCAACTAATCAGGTGCTCCGACTGTGCAGTGCATCAACCAAATTTGGCAACCTGCAGAAATAGGCCATTGCTTGAACAAAACTGGTACGATCTAGCAGATTATCGTTCCTACAAATTTCGAACAATTTTCAGGTGCAAACTGTCATGTCTTGGATGGTCCGAAAAATGGTTACATTGATTATTCGAAAAATGTCACCGCCAACGGCGATATACTACACGGCACTCAAGCTACACTCAACTGTTTATCGCCGCTACTGGTCCTCGCAGGTGGTAACGTATAAGAATTTAGAGCTAGAAGAGTTTCGATACAAGGCTTCCTTTACCTACACAAGCTAGAAAAATTTTGGCCTTCTGTCCTTTTGATTATTTTTAAGGTAACAAGCGACAGAAATCTGGATAACTGCTCTATAATTGTCATTCTTCCTTTTGAGAGGTGGAATAGATTTTGACATCATTTTTCGATGCTTATAACCCTTGGATTCAGAGAAAACACTTCGAAAATGGTTTAACAAAGATTTTTTTGTGATTGTATTCCAATCGCTAATTTTTGTTTAAAAGTCGCTTGTAATGTTTTGTAATTTATGTGGACCTTGGTAATTTTCCCAATCCATTCGTAGCTCATCCCTACCCCTCGATCATTTTCTGTATGACATGCATACAAAACTTTTTTTCAGGTGCACAAACATCAATCTGTAACAATGGAAAATGGATCCCTGACATGTTGGGTACCTGCAACTTTGATGAATCTGGTGAGTACCGTATAATTTCGGCACTATTCATGCTACACATGACCCACCTGTAGAAAGCACAATAATTCAAGGAAAGTGTTTCTTGAAGTCCCACCGTAATGTTCTAGTGTGCCCGCGATTTGATGTTCCCGAAGGTGCAAACATCACTTACGATCCGAGCGAAACTAATATCGGCCTATGGGCGGCAAAATTGAGTTGCATCAGCGGTGCAGAAGTCGAGGGTAAGCAAATTCCCTGCTTTTGATGAGGACAAAATTTTTAGGCTTAGTGTCTGTTACGAACCGGAATTAGAAATTTGAGATTTTGCGCCCGCTTCGCAGAAAATCATGTTTTCTTAAATTCCTTGCCACGGTAGCAGCTGCAGGACCATGTCTGCACTTCTCATTTTCTTCAATCTTTGCCTTATTAAATGACAGATTTGTAAGCTCGCCGGTAATATGCAGGTCTCCAGCGAGGCGGGAGCGCTGTTCCGTCAAACTTTTTGGCTTGTTTCAGGTTGGCACATAGTGTGTTTCCCATATCAAACAAATTTTAGGAGAAACTAGTGCCACATGCTTTGTGAACGGTTGGGTGCCAAGCAGCTTAGGAAAATGTCCGGATAGTACAGTCGGTGTGATTATCATGAATATGCTGAAGTATTTTTATGGTAATTGAAATTGTAATTTAGTTTGCCCGAAATTCGCCGCTATCGCTGGAGCAGAGGTCAGACACCGCCATAGTACCACAAATACATCTCTCTTTAGTAAAGTGACAGTAAGATGTTTGGATGGAGCTCCAGTTATAGGTTGGTTTCAAGTCTAAATAACTCTATGCGTCAAGTGCTGGGGAGTTTTTTGTCTGCCATAATGTATTCAATGAGATTTGAGTACAAAACAAATCCAACATGCTCTTCATTTCTGTAGGATTATGGTAGAAGAATTCTAACTGTCTTCAGTGCGAATTAGCTAGCGCAGAAAAATTCCAAACGTCTGAAAACCTCTATTCAGACAGTCGAATGGATACCTCAGGCGGGCAAATGGCGAGTCGCGCTCCAGAGCGCGACTCTGCCATTTCGCGCTCTGGAGGGCTCCGCAGCCCTGCCATTTCACTCATTTTGGTGCTCCGGGGCTCTCCCAAATCTGGCGCACCTCCGGAGCAGTGATTTGCGCGTGCCGGAGAGGGGTCCCATTCGCCTGCTTGTGCCGTCACGGTGAACGAATGGAACCCCTCTCCGGGACGCGCAAATCTCTCTGCTCCGGAGATGCGGCAGATTTGGGAGAGCCCCGGAGCACCAAAATGGGTGAAATGGCAGGCTCCGAAGCGCTCCAGACCGCGAAATGGCAGACGCGCCATTTGCCCGCCGGAGATATCCCTTCGACTGTCTGAGTACATTGTTTCTGAACCCACTTTTTCTAATGAGTAATAGGTTACAGATTTGTTTACATTTTGGATGATATTAGGTTGTCCGGAAATCAATGCCCGTTCTGAATTTCAATTGCAATAAGTCATACACTTCTCACTTCTAAATAGGTTGCAAAGTACCATTCGATAGAGCAAAGCAAGCTCTACAAGATGGCCATCTTGCTTTTGCAACAGCTCTCATCCACCTCGAGTTTCGAGCCAAAAACTAAAAAGACTCATCAGCCCGAAAAATCGAAAAAAATCGCAACTCAGTTCATAAAAATCCTACAAAAATTCTAACTTGCTCACGTAAACACTATCCACATAAGACATCTATATACGCCTTTGCCGTATTTTTTTCTTCCGTTAGAAATCGAGAAAACGGAAATTTTCGTGCATTTGCCAAAGTGATGCTGTGCCATACCCACATAGGTAGTTGTATACCATAGATTTTCAGCTCTCTACAAGCTTTAGTTCTCCAAAAATTTGAATTTTAGCTTGGACCACCTAACTAGGGAAAGTTGTATTTGTTATTTCTCGAGAACTAGCGCTTGTAGAGAGCTGATAGGTCTGTACTTCTACAGGCTTGTGGTATACAACTACCTATGTGCGGATGGCACAGCATCACTTTGGCAAATGCACGAAAGTTTCCGTTTTCTTGATTTCTAACAGAGGAAATAATACGGCAAAGGCGTATATAGATGTCCTATGTGGATAGCGTTTACGTGAGCTAGTTAGAATTTTTAGGTTTTGGTGTAGGTTTTTTATGAACTGAGTTGCGATTTTTTTCGATTTTTCGGGCTGCTGAGTCTTTTTATTTTTACCTTAAATCTCGAGGTGGATAAGAGCTGTTGCAAAGCGAGAGAGCCATCTTGTAGAGCCTTAATTTGCTCTATCGAATGATACTTTACAAACTATTTAGAAATGAGAAGTGTACGACTTATTGAGGTTGAAATTCAAAACGGGCATTAATTTCCGGACAACCTAATATATTCAGATTTTTGATGGTTATTGTGAAAAGATGACATTGAACTTCATTAGAGAACGCTGTGGCGATAAATGTTTATGGGCGCAAATCTTCAAAAAATTCCTACTTTAGTCTAGACTGAAGGGGAGGGATCGAGGATCCGATTCTCATTGCAAGTTTGCGACATCGGCACTACAGTATGCCTCTGGAACAAGGCAGCTATTCAGACTTTTATTTCAAAGGCGAAAGACTTTGAACAATCTTTTATTGTAACTGCAACGCTAGCGCTTTTCACTTCCTCTATTTGTAATTCTTATTTTTTAGAGATAAAACTAGTTTCAAGCAATAAATTGCTCAAAAACGTATATATTCTTCAAGTCTTTTGAGCCAAACAGGTAATTAGGTGGTTTTTATTCATCCAGTCATTGAGTAACGTTTCAACGCCTTTGTCATCCTTAGGGGCCTGAAAGTGCTCCAAAACGTCATCTGTGACTCCAAGCCACCAAATCCTCTTTCACTGCTAGTTTCTCTCAGCTTTCCTGACGTAAAAATCGTCAGGACAGAAGATGAGCATACCGAGAGACACCGCTGTTCTGGTATTTCGCACCGGAAGTGATAGTAGTGGCGGAGGTTATTGACAAGCACCCATTCTTATCGTTAATTTCTGTTTCTTTACAGAAATCCAGAAAATCTCTAATGCTTTCCTAGAGAAGGACTCCTTTTCACAAATCAAGATTTTACGCTTGACATTTCAAGTCATCTCCATTATGCGCCTTGACTGTATGCCTGCCTAAAGCTGAAAACAATGTTTCGCCCTTTTTATGTGCTAAAAGTTCTTTGATTCGAGTACTAGTGCTCCTCCGGTTACCCCAGCAATAAAGGCGATTGAGTCACGATGCAATAGAGATATTCTAGTTGATGAACTAGAATGTCTCAATGACAATGCGTACACATAAAGTTCCGTCTCTCACGTTTTTGCATTTTGGAAATCTCAAAGAGCAAAACGTCAACATCAGAACATTCCGTAATACCAAGTGGCAAGGTTTCAAAGAGGTGCGCGAATTCATCTCGAACTTTGATATGCGTGTTTGTGAGTAAGGGTAGCAAGTTTGTGGCAACGCTTCAGTGCTTCAGGAGTTGGATCGCAGAATGATAGCAGTGCATTTTGCGGACAACGTGCAGAACCGTCTCTGAGAAACAATTTCACACCCATATAAAAAGTCGAATGACGCTTGGCCACGACAGCAAAATCATCTGGACTTGGCGACTATCAACAGCTTGAAGCTTGAATGCCCGTTGTCCAGTGTTTTACAGCTTGATCAAAAAAACACAAGCTTTCTTTACGAGGCATAAACTCAATGTCGGAGGAAACTAACAAGCTCAGACCTATGGGCAGTAATGTAGGCGGCCCTACCGACAGAATTGCTGATTCTTGAATAAAATTGTGAGCTACTTGCTGTACAAGGTACCTGCACATCTATTCAGCTCACACAGATCTATCGAATAGCTTCGGAGCGATAAGTTTGATTCAAGCACTGTAATCGAGTCATTTGACGTGACTTCGCTTTACACTTCGCTTAGCTTTACGCGCAGAATAAAGATGCACTGCAAGCGCTATCAGAGATGTTGGATAGGCATGCCAATACCATTAATATTTTGGACTCGGCAATTGCGGACAATGACCCCGATACACAATGTTTGAAATGTCACATTTTAGATGGCCTGGGACTTACTGTTACCAAATACGTAAAATGGCAATGGGTCAGAGACTAGCGCCTGTACTCACTATTTGCTTCATGAGCAAGATCGAGGAACCAGTGATGGCTCGAATGCCCCTAAGTACTGCTGTTACATCGATGAATGCTGTACAGCGACCTCCACAAGTCGGCCTCAATCAGCAGTCGCAGTACATAAAGCTCACACGAGACACCACGCGACGGATGGCTGACCTATCTCAACGCACAAGTGGGGCTGTCCAACCGCATAACTGAGTTTAAATGGTATCGCAAAAAAGCTCCAAAGAGGCTCCAAGCTCTAACATTGGCCCGTAGTAAAGCTAATTCAGTTCAGGTGAACTGAACTAAGGCCCTCATCCAAGATTCAGTAAAGTAGACTGCCTATCACAAGCTCTCCACGTTGTAAGAATGCAAAATGAGATTTCGGCTGACCGTCCGTCTACCTGACTGAAATTTTATTCAGCTGAGATCGAATGAAGCAGCTTTACTACGGGCCATTCTCTTGAATGTTGAATCTGCCCATCCTTTATCCGTGAAACATTCCGTAGTTAGGAATTTGTTCAATACGGCTATGCAGATGTGCTCCGGAGAAAAGCGATGCGAGTCACAAAATTTGGCTCCTCACATCGCATGCATAATGGCCACCATTTTACCACGTACTCGACAGCCAATATTAAAGGCAGCGTGCAGGCAAATTTGAGCGTAGGGGGATCTTACTCGGAGGGTATTCTTGAAGCCCTAACTAAAGCACTGCCCAAGCGGCAGCTCAAATGGTGAGCTCACAGTTGGGAAATTCGCCTCCAAACTGGACCCCGCGATCGTATTCGCATGGATTCATGGCGCGACACATCAGTTTCGCGCGTGGTCCCACGCGTACCGCGCCATGAATCTATGCGAATACGCTCTCGGAGTCGAGTTTAGAGGCGATTATCTCAACTGTGAGTTCACCATTTGAGCTGTCGCTTGGGCAGTGTTTTAGTTAAGGCCCCAAAATTACTTTACACATCAGGACTCCTTATGTTCATTTCGCCTAGACGCTGCCTTTAACAACGGTCATGATGATAAACTTCCAATATGCTTTCATTTCAACAACATCAACGATAAAATCAATGTCATCGGCTTTCGAAAATACAGTTTACGTGCACAACAGCAGGATGATATTGTATTAGTAGACATTCCGAACGACAATATCAAAAAGCAGACTTACGACCGGTACTGTGTAGTAGAACACTGTGTAGTCTGCCCGCATGGTATAGGTGACTGTGCAAAAGCAATGGTTTATCAATTAGAATGTCTCAACTGCAACGCGTTTTATGTTGGGGAGCCCGGAAGAGCACTCAGTATTCGTATTAAAGAACATCTAGAGACAAATGCGCAAAATATTGTCTTCAGCTTCAGGGAGGCACAGAAGCGAGGCGCTTAATGGAGATGACTTTGATGTCAAGTGTAAGATCTTGGCTTGTGGATAGGAGACCTCGGCTAGAAAAGCACAAGAGACTTTCTGGATTCCTGCAAAGAAACAGAAATGAACAGTAAGAATGAGTGCTTGTCATAACCTTTGATTTCCTTACGTTTATATCGTTATGCTCTTCGTAGATCAAGTTCGATATCCGCTTAGTCTATTCCTTCCGCCACGACCATCATTTCCGGTGCGAAATACCATAAACAGCGATGGTCTCTCGGTATGCTCATCTTCTGTCCTGACGATTTTTACAGTAGGAAACCTGAGGCAAGGTTGAGAGGACTGGGGAAGGTGTTTGTTGGCTCGGAGTCGCCTGAGATTTGTACCACTTTCAGACCTCTGAGTAAGACGATGGCGCCGAAACGTTAGGCCGTGATTGGATGGTTAAAGACCATCTAAAAACCTATGTGGCTCAGAACACGTGAAGAATACATGCGATGCTCAGTTTTAAAGCAAGTGGAACATGAGAACTACTCAAAAAGAGTTTTTGCGCTTTTATCTGTGTCAGAGTTTGAGAAAAGATCCTTGACACCTTACTTCAATATTCCTTCTTATCTATTTAACTTTACATTACTAAGTCCAACCATCACTTTGATCCATTATTTTGAAACAAGAGAAGAAGCCGAAAAAGGTTAAGCTCACATACTTGAAGCGAACCCAAGCCATCCAACCGAGTAAAGGCGACGATAAGTCGTTTGAGGCTGAGCAGGTCACCTATTGAGTTAGTCATGGAAATTGTACACACAGTAACCGCATCACTCACGCATCATCACCAGCCAAAACAATATAATTGCAACATATTGTCGTAATACCCGGACTTTATGTTCGAGTATTTTCCAAAACTATTTTAGGTAACAACGAATCCGTATGCCTTTCTACGGGCTGGTCACCTCCGCAGCTGGGCAGATGTGCAAACACAGGTAAAGACTTGCATTCTCGATGAATATGTTACATAATGATGGTAGTTTCAGGGACAGACTGTGGCTTTATGCCATCGAGATCACATAGTAAAATTGTTTATCATTCCGGTCCGAATCTTCTCTCCGAAGGCACCAACGCAACGCTGACATGCGACGAATCCTATTTTATTGTGGGTAAGCGAATCTACGCTAGGTTGAAAAAGGGTTGCGGGAGACTAAGCGGTGCGCAGCATTCTTTTTTTGCTATCTTAACATGTGATTTTTGTAAGGAGATGTGGCGTCAGACACTTCTTCAAGATTATTTGAGACAACAAGCAAATGAAAACAGCTGAGAATGGCATGATTTATCGTGATATGGGACTCTTATCCTTCTTCGTGCTTGGCATTGATATCAGCTGGAAGTGCTAATTTTCAGCTATGATGGGCGAGGAATATGATAAAATAATCGAGTATGGAATTGATTTGATGGTCGATAACTCGGTGTAGGCAGTGATTCGAGTTCTTTCGAGAGTTTTATCCGTTCTCTTGTTTGTCTATGTTTGAATCTAACTCTTTCCAGAGATAGAATCATTTTAAAATCAGCAAGTCCGTCTCAGTAATCTATTACATAAAAATTGATGCAGCAGCAACATAAAGATTTCGTAATCGAAATTCGAACATTGTGACGTAAAACTTTGAATTCGAAAAAACCTGATTCAATTTGAAAAGTTGTAGGCTAGCGCAAAGTTTGATCTGTGCAACCAGTGATCGACTCAGCAGTAAAACTAGCCTCGTACTTCACTATTTTTTCTTTACAAAAAATCTTGCACAAAATCTCGAACAAACTCTGGTCTGTCTAGAGTGGGAAATCCAGTTGTTGAGTTTTTTTATCTTTTCCTCTCTAACATTCGTGAAAAGTTTTCCGTTCTAAATGGTAAGCTTAGCCTCGCAACCGAGAGCGAAGGTTCTTAAAGACAGCGAAAATTCCGTCTTTCATGTTTTTATTGTTATCGGATCTTTCCAGGGCGCTGATTTCGGATATGAAAAATCACCAGAAAACTCCAAAACTGCCCCTTTCTGAAAACCTAATTTGGCAGACGTGGACGAGTGCCTTGTGCTTGTCATGTCGTATGCTGCAGGAAACCTCATCTTGTGCAACAATGCCACATCACAAACTATGCGTCGCGACGTTGTTTGTCATGTCAGAACACGTGGCAATCTCCGTGGGTGTGTGGAGGGCAAAAACGGGGGCGGAGGCGGAGCGCAAAAAGGATCCGACTCGCTATCTCCCTCCGCAGACAACATTAGGGGACTGGGTCAATGCGATTGGTCTAAATCTTCAAAAGATGAAAATGAGCGGAATTTAACAACCCAATAGCATAAGGTTGATCAGCCAGCGTTTTCAGCTTTTTTTAGCTGTCATTAGTTTCTCGACATTTTGAACATAGATTTAAGTGAGCATCATGTTTCCCTACACATCTAAAAAAAATTTTTTTTTGAATCCAAGGCAGCCTTTAAAGTCCCATTCTTGTGTTACACGAGAAAATTTTTATTAACTTGGAATTACTAAAAATACGAAGTGTCCCAAAAGTATATATTAGGTCGTTCCGAAAGTAATGTCGTTTTTTCCAAACGAACGCCACATTCCATGAAATCAAGATTTTCAAGAGATCTTAGGAGCATTCAATGCAGCATTTCGTCCACTTTCTAATGGTTGTAATGCAGTTGCATAATATTCAATGAGCTCTGGAAAAATTACCAAAATCTGCGTCCCGTGCTTTTTGCTATGGTCAAATTCGACTTTTTTCTAAAATTTTGTACCTATTCTCCGACGAAGTACAAGTGACTCATAGATAGCGCAAGCCCTATAGGACACAGAGCAATTTTTTTTCCTTAGCTTGCTTCTTAGAGTTTCTGGAATCAGTTTTTCAATGCTATCAAATCCCATATTTGGTCAACTCAAATCTCACAGAACAACAACTGGCAAGCAACTCGGGTGTCATTCGACGCAACTTTTTCTCCTCTTTCTACCAGTTGTTTTTTTTTCGATTTATAAAGTTTTCCGGGATACAATCATCATAACTCAGATTTTCCAAGCCGCCCCAGGCTGTACCCGGAATTTTCGAAAGTTGCTAATCTGAAACGGTGAATGCTCATTTGGTTTGTAAAATTAGTGTTAAACAATAACCCATCTTTGTATGTTTCAAAATGCGAAGATTTAGTGGTGTTTGATGCATTTATGTCTGAGACGAGCCTGCTAAAGGTGGTTCCATCGAAAAATCTGTACAAAAATTATGACGAGCTCTGGAAAGTAGAAAAATTGTGCTATTTCCTGTAGGGTTTGCTCTGTCCATCCACTACTTGGGCTCCTTCCGAAGGTTGCAATAAGAATTTAGAAAAATTGTGAAAATTGGCCTTTTTGAAAAGCATGGGCGCAGGTTTCGATAATTTTTCTAGAGGTTACTGAATTTTATGCAGTGATTCTATGACCATAAGAAAGAGAATGAAATACTGCATCAGACGCTTCCAGAATCTCTTACATACCTTTGTTCCACGAGATGTGGCGTACGTTTGAAAAAAGCGACATTATTTTCGGAACGACCTAATATATATGCTGTTTAACGTTGATAAATCTCTTTCAAGGCTTTTGCCTACCTTCAAGAAATATTTTGTGGAACTGGCGTCAACTTAGATTTACAGTATGAAGCGAATCACCAATCGCTCATCATTACTGTAGGATTACGGTAGAAACTTCAAGAGGGGTTTTGAGCCATTAAGGACCCTACCGCCTATGAAAGCAAAGCAAACAAACCGAAGTCTCTCATACTAGGCTAGTTCGAGTTTCTAATAACTACATATGAAGTTCCACTATACCGCAATTGAATTCATAAGTTATGCTAACCGCAATAGCTGTTTTTACAATGCTCCTCGAAATAGTGATTACACCGTTTGAAAGGTTTTACGAACTCATGAAAAGTTGAGTAATGAAAGCACGCGTGGAAATCGTGCTATACTACTTTTGAGATTTTTTGACTTTTGAAACGCAATCATCCACGTTGACGCTGGAAGCCAAGATTCCTGCCTTAATACGACAGTAATAAAAAGCGAATAGTGATTTGCTCCATACTGTAAATGTAAGCGAGAGCCAGCTCTACAAAGTGGTACCTAAAGCTAGGCAAAAGGCTTCTTGGGAAGAGAAATATTAACGAACGAACATTGTGTGCATCCTTTTGGGACACTCTGTATAGACAGTAATTTTCGCAGGGTAATCAATACGTTCCTTAAAAGAAAGAGTGTCAAGCGAAAAAGAGACAACGAATGAGCAAGTAGTGTTAGCTCATAAAGAAGTTCAGGCAATAAAAACAGTTATTATCGACCTGCAGTTCTACAAAAAGAATAAACGGCGATTTGAAAAAAGATTTTTTGAAAAGGGAGTTTGTATTTGCGGCGACCCATTCCATTGTCCAAATGTTCAAATTAGGCTTTTTTGAGTCGCAATGTAAGTTTTTTCCAACATCTCTTTGATTCTTATTGACACTTTCTAGGTACTGCCACTGCTCGATGTATCAACAAAACTTGGGTTCCACCAGAACTCGGAATCTGCTCTCCTTTAACAGGTATTGCATCTGCAATTTGACAAAGCATAATGTCGTTTTTAGGATCAAGCTGTCTTCTCCTGGCTCCTCCAGCTGATGGACAGCTCGTTTATTCAAGTGATGCATTGTTAGGTTACATACCACACTCAGTCAATGTGTCTTTAAGATGCCTTACAGGAGAAGTAGTAAATGGTGAACATCACCCTCTTGATGTATAAATTCCGTTAACGAATCCCTATGAATCAAGATTAAGTGCAAATCCCGTTTCCAGGGACCGGAGTTTCAACCTGCGTCGATGGAAGTTGGTATCCTTCTTCCGTGGGCGAATGCGAAGGTCAACCCATTTCGAACATTTGTAAGTGAATAATTGTTCGGGTGTCCTATACATGAAAGTGCAAATTTTCAGCCAACTTGTGCCATCCTTTGATTGCTCCGCCTAACGGTAACATATCGCTTACGAGAGGATTACCAGACTTTCCTGCGGAAAGCGGAGTCGTAGCTACATTGACATGCTTACCTGGGAAATTTATTCTTGGTAAGCCGTCGTTTATGTCATCCTTCAACTCCATAGAATCTTCCTGTATTTTATCCTCTACTTTTCACCTCCAGATCGAAATAAATACATATTACAGGCTCTGCAACATCACTGTGCGTTGAAGGTAAATGGGTGCCTTCCTCGCTTGGTACATGTACCGATGACGCTAGCTCTGGAGGTAAGCAAAAATAATATTTCTTTGAGAAGCAAGCGCTTATAGTCATGTTCTCTCTCTGTTTGTATATCCATGCCCTATCTCTTCGATCATTATGTGATTTTGGAGCATCAACCACATCATGGCTTGCCGGTGTGGATTTGCGAAAATTTGAACATCAAAACACGCAACAACGTTGCGCCCTCACCAAAGAGAATGAATACATTTTCTGCAAGGAAATGCATTTCTATAACCAGAAGATTTTTGATTTGCTCCAATGAGCATACTCAAACCTGGTGGAAATCCTGGACACATGTTTCACAAAGTCATAATTCAACAACCGAGTTTACAATTTTTCGTACTGGTCCACACTGGAGTCCCCTAATCAGAGTGATTTTCGAATTGTGCCATTTTCAATACCCAGAACTCGACATATGAAAGCAAAAAAATCCGCTGCTGAAAATCGCTGAAAAGTTCTTCATCTGTACCAAGTGATCCAGCTGCTCAGAGCAAATGGATGCAGTTGATTCAAACCTTTTGACGCGAAATCATATAGCCTTCAGTAACTGACTGCAATACTAATGCTACATCATTCTGTCTACGAAGCTAATTTGCTTTGTGTTTAAGAAATACAAAAATGTTGTGTTCTGCCAGATATTACCACGCTTCAAGTCCAAATATAGAATAAAAAACACACGTAGAGATTCTGACTAACTGCTCCTCAAGTTTTTCCGTATGCAAACACTCCATTCGGAAGTTTGAAAGGTGCATGTTAGAAAGTAACAAACAATAATTTGAGCAATAATTTGTTTAAAATTAATAAAAGAGAAAAAGTTTTCTGATTTTCAGATCGCTCTGTTTTCTGAACTTTGTCATTCGCACTGAGAAAGAACATCTTAATCTCGTACATCTCAAGCTGAACTTTTATTTTCAATTTCTTTTTCGATTTAGGAACGGAAACAGGTTGTCCATGGCCAGCCACTCCAAATGGGATGTATTTGAACTGGTCCTCATTTGATATCGCTGGACCTATACACAATGGCACAGTTGTTTCTGCGAACTGTGTCAATAAAGCGTCTATCAGAGGTTATTAGTAGAGAAGATTTGTTTTAACGATTTTCTTTTATTAAGGTGCTAGTCAAATGATATGCTCCAATGGGAGATGGCAACCTGCTGGCTTTGGCAGTTGCAACGTTTGGCCGGGACCTACAGCAGGTAGCGAAGACAAGATATTTTTAACTAGGAACTTTTTTGTTACTTTTTGTTTCCTGTTCAGGCTTATCATGTCCACCCATGAATGTGACATCAAGTGATATGGGCTTCATATACAGATACGGAGATCAGTACATGACTGGCTCGGTGATGCGAGATCTCGAGCACGGCACAATTCTTACCGTCAAATGTTACAACGGAACGATGGCCGGTATATACACAAGGCAACCTTGCGTCCTATACTGCATTTACTAATTTGTTCTTAGGCAATAATTTCACCACATGTGCGGACGGCAAATGGTACCCACCCGGCATTGGAATCTGTAATCACTAAATTTGTTTGTATTGTTTTGTACAATTCTAAACCAACGAAAGCATTGAGCTATTTACTCGCAAATAAATTACTTAACTCGTGTGGCAGATATCTCCTCCACCCATTTCTAAATAAAAGTCCGTCGTTCGGAGGCATCGTCTGAATAAGCGGAGACATTTCCAGAGAACTCACAAAAAACTGCTTCTGTACTTTCACTCAAACGCACCTTCCACCATATTGAGATTAGTGAGATTTTGACGTTGTATAACAACGGGTCTCTCAGCTAATAAGTAATTGCCCAAGTCCCTGTGCGAAAGATGGATTAGAAGGTTGAAGCGGCCCAGTTGGCTCCGTTCACCAATGTAGGTAGTCTGAAGATTAAAATTCCAAAATTGGGCTTTAGTGTGTATACAGTTGCCATAGATTCTTTCATTGTGGTTATCAGATTTTCGACATTTCTGTCTACCTAAAGCCCATTTTCGAGTTCATCTTCTGACCATCACCGTTCATGGGAGAAGCCACTATGCCGCTTCTACCTGTAGCGAATTTCTCCCTTCAGAATCCATCTTTTGCAGAGGGAGTTGGGCGAAAGCCTAGTTGAGGTCCCGCTATTTAACCATCAAAAACTTGGACCTCAGTTCGGCGCCTTTAAACCGACAAAATTCACGTGCTAAGCAAGATTAGTTGATCGCGCCGATATAACATATTGATCTCATGGTTAGCTCACAGGGAAAGAATACTTGGTGACCGTGGCCTTTCAAATTCTGATCTCAAAACTGTGTTTCTTATTTGCGGAAGGATTCTCCAGAAAAACGGTATTTCCTTGCAGTTGACGTGTTTGATAAGAGTACGAGTAATGTCAATAGTTGCTACAGCGACCGCCAAAAACTTGCGGACAAGTTGCCCTCCTTTTTTCAGCGTTCATTTTCGGATGGAAAACCAGGATGAAAAAATGATTGGATTGCATGAGGTGATAGAACTCTTCAAGAGCTACAATCCGCATATTGAATTTTTGGAAAACATGCATTACGAAAATTTTAAAAAATCTTTTTCTAAATTAAGTCCGAAAATGGCCGCGTCACAATGTCGCGGACAATAATTCTTCGAACGCGAAAATTTTCTTTCAGGTCTTTTTTTGGAGCAAAACAGAAGTTTTCCGAATAGGTGAGCATACTATTAGGTTGTCCCGAAAGTTTTGTCGGTTTTTTTCATCGCCCACTAAAACCCAAAGAATACAAATTCATGGACGATCTAGGTATCATTTGATTCAGATTTTTATCCTCTTTCTTATAGCTAAATCTGCTCTCTGATCTACCCTGTCTTTGCAATGCTATCGCCATGGTTTTTTGAGCAGTTCAGCACTAACGCCAAATCTTTCCTGAATTTTAAAAATTTTTATCCTGATGTTTTCAAAGAGCGCTAATGGCTGTTGTGTAGAGAAAATCTTTGGCTACATTGTATTTTTTTAAAAATTAAATGGACCAGGTTTCTCAAGTCCATTATAATTATTTATTGAAGAAAAACCGCGGCTTTCTGATTGCGTTTACCACGTAAAAGTACCGAAATTTCCAAAAAGCTGCTTTTTCGAAACAAATCAAACTTGGTTATGTTGGATAATTATCGTTTTTTAGCAATCGAGTTTCAACTCGCAGAAATTTCAAAAGCTTTCATGTTTTTGCTGCGGCTGCGTGTTTCATGACTTTGCCAAAAATCGAGACTTCCAATTTTTTGAAGCTAAAAACAGAAGATTGGGAGAATCTAAAAACATTGCCATATAGCCCGAGAGCTGCTCTATTCAACCCATACTTAAACCTTTCCGCAACCATGGAAAGAAATTCTTAAAAATTAGCCTAACTTTAAGCAGAAAAAATTGGCAGGTGGAGAATTCTGGCAAATATCAAAGAAAGCATACAAGATTGTGCTTCGAAAATGTATCCATCTGAAAGAGAAGAAAAAGCTGCATCGAATGCATGTTGAAACTCGTTCAGGTCTTTATTTTGCATAGTTTTATAGCGGCTTGAAAAAACCGACAAATTTCGGGACAACCTAATATATCATAGAGCTCATCGAGGACAACAATCAGGTAGTGGTTACTTCCAAAAAAACGCGAGTTTGAATTTTGTTTTGCTTTTCAAAAGAATAACTTTTTTCTCTTCCAAAGCCAATTTCTTCACATGGAAACTTATCCAAAGCATCCCAACAAAGCTGTTTGGATGAAGTAGATGCTCTTTACCATTTTCCATGCATCGGACTTGTGCTGGTGAGTTTCTTGGCTGAAAATGACTCCTGAGAATTCGTGCACATGACCCCACCTGCGCCTCACCACTGACTTGTGCCGCTTTGCAGGCTTGTTGCTCAGCCATCAGGCAATCTACGAGCATGTAATTAGGCTCATTCGAAAGGGCGTGGCTTCCACGACACGACGGTATGCAAATAAGTTCATTTTGAGCCATCCCAGAAATTTGGCGGATGGGGTGGAAGAGGGCAACCTTGGAGGTGATTGGAGTGAAGGCTCTTATGAACACCAGAACAGTCTTAGAGCTTCGAAATGGATTTATTACAAGAAAATTGATAGTTTTGAACTTTTAGGATGAAATTGGTAGCGAAAGGAGCTCTCTTCAACTCTAGCTGAAAAGTGCTTAGCCTACAACTGAAGCTGCCCTCTTCCACCCCATCCGCCAAATCTCTGGGATGGCTCAAATTGAACTTATTTGCATACCATCGTGTCGTGGAAGTCACGCCCTTTCGAATGAGCCCAATTACATGCTCGTAGATTGCTTGACGGCTGAGCAACAAGCCTGCAAAGCGGCACAAGTCAGTAGTGAGGCGCAGGTGGGGTCATGTGCACGCATTGTCAGGAGTCATTTTCAGCCAAGAAACTCACCAGCACAAGTTCGATGCATGGATAATGGTAAAGAGCATCTAATTCATCCAAACAGCTTTGTTGGGATGCCTTGAATAAGTTTCCATGTGAAGGAATTGGCTTTGAAAGAGAAAAATAGAAGTTATTCTTTGAAAAGCAAAACAAAATGGACTCGCGTTCTTTTTTGGAATTAACCACTACCTTATTGTTGTCCTCGATGAGCTCTATGATATAGTATGCTTACCTGTTCGAAAAACTTCTGTTTTGCTCCAAAAAAAGACCTAAAAGAACATTTTCGCGTTCGAAGAATTATTGTCCGCGACATTGTGACGCGGCCATTTTCGGATTTTTTCCAGAAAAAAGATTTTTAAAATTTCTTAAATACTTGTTTTTCCAGAAAACGCAATGTGCGCGTTGTAGCTCTTGAAGAGCTCTATCACCTCATGCAATCCAATTATTTTTTCATCTTGGTTTTCCATCCGAAAATGAACGCTGAAAAAAGGAGGGCAACTTGTCCGCAACTTTTTGGCGGTCACTGTATGTGCTAAACGGTCTAGGGCCTTGGCCATACCTCACGGTTTCAGTAGCCAAGCGATTTGGCAATGTAACATAAGTTTATATCTCTTTTTAATCACATTTTGAATTCATATAATGTATGATATTTCATCAGCTTGTAAGAGTTATACATACATGTGCTTTCAGACTCTATTAATAATGGATCGAAGATATCTGGCAGATTGCTAAATCGCGTGGCAACTGAAATCGCGCCAGGTATGGCCAAAGCCTAGCGGTTAGCAATTACTGCAGAACGGATGCCGGTTTGATCTTTGTCGGTGCGAATATTTTTACGTTTGCTTTCACGAGCGCTATTTCTTCTCTGAACAAGTTCCGCAGCAAACAAACGTAGTTTCGAGATAAGTGTTTCAAGGCAAGCATTCTAATATACAACATATTTCATAATGCCACCGTAACCAGTCTACCTTCTCCTGTTCATAGTTGCGATAGGGGGAGTGATGGATCTTACCCCCTTCACTTTGAGGCCAAACTCCCGATGACCCCCTTCACCTGGGCTGAGATTGATATTGTACTCTGAGAATATGATGAAAATCGTTATTAAAAGGTTTTGCAGGCTAAGTACCTCAAACAACAAGTACACTCGTAAATTTAAAAAAAACGGCATTTATGTTTATTCATATTATTTATTTATCCTCGTAGCATTCATCTGGAGAGCAGAAAGTGAGGACACAAAAGCAGTCGGTTTTTGGTTTCACATAAAATCCCTCATATCTCGCGGCACAAAAGACCTAGAAAAAAGTTGACGGTCTACGTCGATTCTCCATGATCTCAGCTTTCGAATGGTCTACAGCATGTTAAGGCTTCTTTGCTTCCCGGCTCTAAAAATCATTTGCTCCGGTAACCGATAAAAGCCAATACATTGGTGGAGCTGGGCGGAGCAAGCTAATAGTAAATATCTCCACCCCAATTTTGAAAACTGGTTAGTTTTTTCGCCCAGCAACCTATATACCATTCGAAAGCTCAGGAAAAGGGGATTCGACCTAGACCATCGACTTCTTTCTAGCCCCCCTCTACCGAGAGATACACCGCATTTTATTTAAAAACATGGTCATTTTCAACAGCAGATTTCCGCCAAATGAAGACCTAATCACTGCTGATTATCTATCTGTGTTAAAGAGCAAGTCTTCATTAACAAATGTAGACCGTCGACTTTCTCGTAGCATTCATTTGGAGAGCAGAAAGTGAGGACACAAAATCAGTCAATTTTTGAAGCACGTAAAATCCCTCATAATTCGCGGCACAGAAGACCTAGAAAAAAGTCGATGGCCTACGTCGATTCTCCATGATCTCAGCTTTCAAATGGTTTACAGCATGTTAAGGCTTCTTTGCTTCCCGGCTCTAAAAAGCACTTGCTCCGGTGACCCATGGAAGCCAACACATTGTATAGGTCGTCCCGAAAGTTCTTGCGCACGATGTTCAAAAATTCATAACTTCTGATTTTTCCAACCGATTTGACTGCTTTTATTTTCGTATGAAATAGTAAGTCATTTTTTTTATAATGACATCTTATCTGCTTACTAATGATCATCTGTTGCATAGATAGGAGCGATAAAAGGAAATTGGTCAAAATTTGAATATTCTG